AAACAAAGAAACAATATTGGAAAAACGAAAAGAACCTATTGAATGTGAATGTGGTGGTGTTTTCAGGAAATGTGATATAAGAAGACACGAGAGAACTGAAAAACATCAACGATATGTATGTGAAAATATTAATATCTAAATAGTTCTAATAATATATGCACTTATTAGAACTATTTAGTGGTACTTCTTCAGTTGGTAAAGTAGCAAAGTCGCTCGGTTATAATGTTATATCATTGGATTTGAAAAATGCTGATATTAATTGTGATATACTTGAATGGGACTACAAACAGTTTGACAGAAACCATTTCAATTTTATTTGGGCATCTCCTCCGTGCACCGAATACAGCAGAGCTAAAACAACTGGGGTTAGAAACATAGATTACGCTAATAGTATTGTTTTAAAAACGTTGGAAGTAATAAGGTATTTCAATTGTCAATACTGGATAATAGAGAACCCTCAAACTGGACTTTTGAAGGAACAACCCTTTATGAGTGGTTTAAACTACTATGATGTGGATTATTGCAAATATGGCATGAATTATAGGAAAAGGACACGGCTTTGGACTAACATTGAAACATGGAAACCCAAACCATTATGTAATAGGGATTGTGGGAAAATTAGGAATGGGAAACAAGTTGAAACTGCTCAACGGTTGCCATCGGGTAAAAAAAACAGATTGGGATGAGGGATACATCAAACATAAACAAGATGAGTTATACAAAATTCCTACTGAGTTGATTAGTGATATATTTGTTAGTTTGTTTTAGGGTCAGGTTTAAACAGTGCAGAAAAACATGTTAAAACCATCATAGGGGTATGACAAAAACATCATCGGGGTATGATAAAAACATCATTCTCTTTCATTTTCCCTTCGAAATCCGAATGATGGTTTCATCATATGATACAAACATCATCTGTCCAACCAATGACAAAACCATCATTATGATACAAACATCATCTGTCCAACCAATGACAAAACCATCATTATGATACAAACATCATAAGGCAAACCAATGACAAAACCGTCATTATGATACAAACATCATAAGGCAAACCAATGACAAAACCGTCATTATGATAAACGCAACAAGACAAACAAACATGTCGCCTCTTCTTGTGATATCAGGTCTCCATGTCAGCCTTGTCCTGTGTATGAACCAAGTAAGACAAATCAATTGAATTATTATCCTGAACTGAAATTATAATCATAATATAATAATAACATGTAAAATCTTATATGTTATAATTATAGCGAACTTTTAACCTATAAAAGAAAATTATTGAGAAAAATACTAACAAAACAAATACACCACCAACACCCCAGAACTTGATAACTACTAAAAGGGTTAACTCCTTCAAATGAAAAAAATGTCGGCCCCCAGCCCAACAATGAACAAGGCGACAATTTACCCAATTGATTACCTTAACGAAAACGATAAATAAGCTCCCTAAAAACCCTCTTTTAAAAACGAATAAGGGGGAACATAGATTTGAGATGAACATAAAAACCAGAACAGGCAACCATCAACAGACCACCCCCCAGGCCCCCTACTTTCTCCATTTTTTGGGGGGTGGGGGGGGGAGGGGGGGGGGGGTCCACGGCTGGAACATATATATGCATACACTATATATATATATATGCAATGTATGTGTGGCGTGGGCAGGACTCGCGGACGGGCTCGCTTGCGCCTGGGCCTCCGGCACCTTCAACGCCACCAAGTCCCGGCCCTCGCGGCAGAGCCACACCGAGGCGAAGGCGCCTCGGCCGGGCGGCCGGGCCGCGCTGGAGGCCCTTCACGGGTTGAGCCTTGGGGTCCGGTTGAAAAAATCCATGGGATCCACTGCCCAAAAAAAGAACCCAGCTGAAACGGAGTTTGAAGTGGTTTCCCCATGCAAAAGAGGGAAACTCCAGTGGCTCACGTAACCCGAGCTTGGGCGGACCCCTTGTTCAAATATGTGTGGAATATGTTGGCTCAGAGAACCTCCGTTTGGTTTTAAACATGGCCTAGTTGGTTGAACAAATTTGGCCCAAGCCTCGTTGGCACCAAAATGACACAATGGCTATTGACAAATTGGTTGCGAAAACTGGACAAAATAGATAACTGTGGAGAAAAATAGATGCTTGCTGAAGGCTGGTCTGCGCTGGAGGATGGGATGCGAATGTTGCTTGATGTGCTGGTTATGTACCTTTCACGACACCCCTCTCCACTCCAACCATGGTTCAGTGACAGACATGAGGAATTTTTCATCAGTTCAAACCAAATCAGAAAGCCCGAACGTCAAGTTGAAACCCAACAATTGGCATTGTGTGTTGTGTGTTTTGCTCCTTGCAACGTCTCAAATGAGTTGATAGTCAAACATTGGTCGCCTCAGTCTTTATGGTTGAAGCAGCAAGCAGGATTCCTCCCTGAGTTGTGTCGAAGCTTCTCGGTGCTTGTTTTGTTTTACGAATTTAAAGCTAGTGCCAACAGCTTGATTTTTTGCAGGTCCCACACACACACACACTGCCAGGGTTGCCTCATACACCATGGCAGAATATATTCACAGCTTGAGTCCAAAAAACTATTTGCAGGTGATGTACTTGGTCGTGAGTTGGCCTGGTGAAACCTTCCAAAATAGATCATTTGGAGCATGTTGGGACTACGCCATGGGTGTGTTTCAACACAAGGCATGAGGCATGGTACTAAATCCCAATTAAATTCAGCAGAGAACATCCTTGGCCTCTTGTCCTCTACTCAACATGTCGAGGGGCCTCTTCCCAAGCATCCCAGGCTGCGATAGCGGCCGCAAAGCAACATGTGCGAGCGCAGGTCGTGCGAGCCCTGGGCAAGACAAGGGCTGACACGAAGGGCATACCAAGACGAGCAAGCCTTGAATAGTGCCGCCTCGGATCGGAAGCCTGATGGACCAAACGGAACGAAAGAGGCGTTTCACAATTGATATCGACTTTTGCAAATAAGTAGAACGTGCCGTGGAAAGCAACAAGGAAGTTCAATCATGCCTCACGCCAATCTTGGTCGGATTTCATGGCAGTGTTGAGGTGTGTAGGCGTCTTTGCTGCGATTCATGAGTCGGCCCATAGCAAGCAATGTAAGCAATATTAATGGTCAAAAGCGGCGTGTAGCAATGCCTTCACGGCAAATGCTAGTATTGGGGAAGTCTGCGGTTGGGGACAAAGCCGAAGCTCCTGTCTTTCACAATTGTTTTATAACTCCTTCGCACAGCAGCAAAGAACAAAGCGAAACAACTGGGAGCCTAAAAATTCAGCAAGGTGACGTGAGCCCCTGACAAAACTGTTTGTTCCCCCGAGAGGAAATGGGAAAACTAAGCCCAGTCCCTTGTGGGCCGTTCTCATCCTCCACCTGACAATGCACTACCAGTAGTTCTGTAATTCTGCAATTTGTAATGTGTGGGCGGAGGGGCTCTACGCTTTTCTCACGCGCCTCCTCACACTCCTCCACATCGCTCTCCTCGCTCTGGCTCTGCTCTCCGAGGGCCGAAGCCGCACGGGCGCCGGCCTCGCCAAGGACACTCAACCCGAACGGGGGCCCTGGGGTGGATGTGTCTGGAAGAGCAGCGAGTATTGGATTGCTGGCGGTTGCTTCGAACCAGCGTGACATGGAACCCACGCTTTGGACCCCTTCAGGCCACAGGGCAGAGCGCAGGCCGTCAACGCGCGCCGAAGCTTGAAGCTGTGCGTCTGCAATGGCTTGTTTCCCCACAGTGCCACAGCGAACAAGTCATGATCAAAATATATGGCATGGACCAAGCCGGTTTTAGTGTCTTGGGCTTGAGAAACAACAACTGGTTCTTGCAGACTGACCCCATTCATCGGAACAAGGACGTATCTGAACTTATCTGAACAAATAAATGTATATACATATGTACATATATATATATATATATACATATTCACATATCAAAGCGTACCGGCCTCGCGAGCCCGGCCGCCGCCACTGCTGCTGCTGCTGCCGCCGCTGCTGCTGCTGGAGCTGCGGCTGCGGCTGCGGCTGCGGCTGCGGCTGCGGCTGCGGCTCATGAGGCATGGGGCGACTGGTTCAGGCTTAGAGAAGCATTCGATTCTCCGTACCAAGCTGGCTTGCTCTCGGTGCGATTGCAGCAAAAGACGCAGATGTGTGCCCAACTGGCTACTTGTGGCTGGGACAGATTCGCAGCACCCGGAACAGAAACAAACCTTAGAAACGGAGCAGTCCGGCTGCACTCAAATAGTGTTTTTTTTTTTTTGGGGGGGGGGGAGGGAGCGAAATGACAAATAAAAGGCATATCGTGTTGGTGCTGAGTTATGTACTAGCTTGCTTCTCCCTGACCATGTCTCCTCTTGATGCCTTCTTCCCCTGTCCGTTCCGCACTTCCTGTACAGTTTATGTTGCCCTTCTTGGATAGCTGCAAAGACAGCATGGTCTTGGGATTTCACCCACGCATCAGCAGTAAAGTGTTTAGATCAGCAGCACGTACCTAGCAATGTTTAAGACATGGGTTTCATACAAATGCCAACCTCTGAATTCGATTGACATTGTTAAGCAAAGCTTGCCTACTGAAAAACTGAGCAAAGCGTTCAGTTGCGTGTGTGCTGGTCTGGCTATCCTGTTCCAGTCCACTGGCCTCCTATCACTAGCTGCAGAATGCCTTGCATGCACAGGAGCAATGAGCCAAATGTGTAGAACGTTTGCATTGGGAACCAGTGTGTGTCCCCAGATTTCCCGATTCTAGTTTGACATCTCCCCGCGATGGATCTTTCGCTGGAGCAGGCCTATCCGAAGCAGTTGATCATTGGGATGGTTCAAGCTCCGGCAAGGTATTCTTTGGGACAGGGTTCAGTCCGAGTTCAAGGTTCTGCTCCAATGGTCTTAGTTGCACGCCTCGTGACCTCAACACCAAAGGAACAGTCTGAGCTGCTCTAGTGAGGAGCCTTCCCAGTGAGCGCACAAACACACCCATCTCCCTTCCTTCCCTCCTTCCTTCTGTTCTCCTTCCCCTCCCTCGCTCGCTCCTTTTTCGTGCCGGCCGCATTTCAGCCTGACGCCTTCTCTGACGGCGAGGAAGTTGGGGACGGGGAGGCCCGCGAAGGCGCCTGGCGCTCCTCGTCGCTGACCTCCCAGCCTCTTTGCCTCAGCATCTGCTCTCGCCGCTCCCGGAGCTCCTTGTCCAGGCGCCGGAACAAAGGCGTCCGCAGCACCGAGCTGGTGCTCACCTCAGAGGCAAGAGCAAAGCTGCCAGACGAAACGAGGACTTGGACAAAGAACATAGAATTGCTGAGCATCATAGATGAGTGTGGGAGGATGGCATCTTATGCAAGGGGTATATATTTGTGGGCAACATAAAGCGGATGTTGGCCACCTGGCAAATTGAGTTGCTGAACTGGGCTTGCGTCGAATATCCAGCCCCCTTTGGGATGTGCTTTGGAAAACTGCTTCGGGAAAGCAACAGACATGGGTAATGCGCGGAGGGATCGGGGATCCTGTTGCATAAATTGTGATGATTATCCAAAGCTGACTAAACGGTACATGACTATTCTCTGTCGGTCTCCAAAAGAAGCCAAGCCTGGATGGGGCATTGCGCTTGGGGGCACTTGGAGCCCCATCCCTGGTCTGCAAAAAGCTTGCACCCAGCTTGCACCCAGCTTGCACCCAGCTTGCACGCAGCTTGCACCCAGCTTGCACCCAGCTTGCACCCAGCATGCAATAAATTGGATGCGGCATGGCTTCCACCTCAACCATGATCATGGCCCAAATCCCTGCGGCATGAGAACCAAGAGCTAAACATGCGACTCGTGCGCTTGGGAGCACGTGTCCGGTCGCTTTTGGCACCACATGCCCTTCGCGCGAGGAAAACGTCTCCCACGCCGTGCCCTTGGCCGGGCCACGAAGAAGCGCCGCAAAGGCTCGTCGGACACCGCCGGGTTTGTGGGGGAGTCCAGGGCCAAGGAGTCGTGGAGCGGGTGGGCGCCCACCTTCGGAGCGCTTGTTTCATGCGGGCCAAGCATCCCAACAGCATTCGGCAGGAACCCACGCCATGTCCCACAAATGCCAAAACGACTTGGATGCTGCTACGAAGGAATAGCACCGGTCCCTTTTTCCGCTGCAAGATGACCATTGACAACCTGCAATGGACAATCCTTCGTTGCGATCTGGTGCCTCGCTGGTGGGCCGCAAGTGCTCCTTCTCGTACTCGAAGGCTTGCATCACCATCTCGAACTTGTCAATGTCCTCCAACGTAAGCCAAGCAAGCAAGCAAGCAAGCCAGCCAGCAAGCAAGTCAGCAAGCCAGCCAGCCAACCAGTAAGCCAGTAAGGCAGCCAGCCAGCCAGCCAGCCAGCAAGCAAACAAGGAAGCAAGCACAAACAGGCCAAGCAAGCAAGCAGGCAAGCAAGAAGGCAAGCAAGCAGGCAGGCAGGCAGGCAGGCAAGCAAGCAAGCAAGAAACCCAGGCAAGCAGGCAAGCAGGCAAGCAGGCAAACAAGCAGCCATGCAGGAAAACAAGGTCACCTTGCGCCGATTGCTTTAATGCTTGGTTTCTGTGCTTGTGTTACACGTCTACGTAAACATGTGTATATACATATATGGGTAATCAATGCATATGCATATAAGAGCGGCGTGGAGAAGGATGAGCTCAGGTGCAAGGTGGCCAACACCAGGCTGCAACACCGGGCAGTGCCCTGCCCGATCCCGCGAAATCATTTAAATTTGGCTTGTCCACAACTCCCTTGCGGGCTTCCAGATATGTGACAAAGGAAAGGAATCAGAGCACGGTGTGGGACACGCTATGCCAAAAGAATTGGTTTTGCTTATAAAGCCTCAGTTGTCTGTTGGTATTCTGACGTTTCGCAGCCAGGTTCATATCGATGTTCTTGTTATCTTCAACCATTGGCCTGCGGCTCGCAAGTGGTTCTGCTTATGCCCAAGGATGGAGAAGTGTCCGCTGACCATACCAATGTGTGCGCTATGGACTGAGAATTTGGACCCTGATTCCTCTGGGGGGGTTCATCAAGGTGGATTTTCGTCCGCTCCTTGCAATAGATGGCCTCCACAGTCTCCAGATCTTCGTACTCCTTCCACAGTCCATACAGCTCCTCACCCAGCGGGTCCCCCACCACTTTGCGGATGGCCTGCATCGCCTGGTTCTCCTGGCCGCATGTTCACTCGGCAGCGATTGATCACCCAAGCGTTGGTTTAGATTTGGGCCGGCGGCCCAACCAAAGAAAAACTGGGAGGAGCACCTCACGCTTTCAGGAAACCACTTCTGCCAAAAGGAAGACGACGAACACAACGCCATGTGGGCAGCTCACTGCGAAACTTGTTTGCCTTGTGAAACAGGCAAAAATGTGCGGAGTCGACGCCAAAAGACAGCTCTCTCCTTGTCGAATTTCGAGGCTACTAGGCTTGGGTTGCAGAAGGGCGTGATGTCTCCGGCCAAAGCCTCACAGAGGTCGTGGGTCACAGCCATTCGCAGCAACCGGACCTTGTCCACCTGCCAGCGACAAGCTGTGGAATGCATTGACATGGAACGGGTCCTGAAAGACCAGTTTCCGCTAAGGAGGACCCTCTAGGGGTGGGAGGGTACATGGCCTGAGTGTGTGTGTGTGTGTTGCTGGCAATGTTGACATATGTCGCATGTCATCAGACTTCACGTGTCGCCCATGAAACAGCACGCCACTCAAACAGCCAAGTGGCGCCAAGTGGCGCCAAGTGGCGCCATGCTTCTTTCCTCGCCTTGTCGGGATGAAACTTTGCAGCATCCCCAGAGTAATCATCACGCGGATCTGCCGGCTGACTCAGAAGCATGGCGCACATGGCGCAGCGCTGCATGTGATCTGCATCGCTCTCCGGAAGCGGCACCTTCCGCATGACCCAGCCTGTCCTCCAATGCCAACACGAAGAGAGCCCAAATCAGCTGTTATTACTTGGCCCCTTTTGTAGATGGCCCAAGCCCCGCATGCCGCGGTAAGAACAAGGGTGCTTCATCTCCTCTGGGCGTGCTGACGCTGACGAGCGCTTTGGGGGGCTTAAAAATCGGGAACTGGCTGGACGTTTCAGGGTTTGTCCAACTTCCTCGCCCCGCTCCTTTTCAGCGTCTTCAGGACGCCGCACACATCCGAGAGGAAGGACAAGGCGTCCATGGCCGCAAAAACGCCCCAAGAAACAACCTGAGAGCTCCTCAGCCTTTTGATCCAAACGGAATGTTGCCAGTCTCCATGTCAATGGCAGAGCTTCCTTTTGCGGACCCAGAGGTCCAGTCCGACAGTCTCACTTGCACACGCAAATCGAAAGAGAAGTGATGCCCTCCCAAAACAAACGTCTGGGCCTGTCAAGCAAAAAATGGTCCGGCTTCCATGAGAGTCCTCATTTCGGAGCCAGGCCCCGGGCATTTCGGCGGAGTCGACACCTGGCAGGAACTGGGGCGTCCAAGTCTCCAAGAAACTCGGACTCGTCGAGCACCAGCTCATTTGTAAGCCCTTTGACCCTCAAAGGCACTGACCCCAAGGGTCCAAAGATGTGTCCAAAGCCTGGAGTGAAGGTCTCAAATGTGTGCGCTGAAGCCAATGGTTGAATGCTGAAAACTTAGGTCCTGCGGCTTCCTTTCGTATTCCCCATGCCAGGAAAGGGTCAGGTCGTTCACAAAAAGTTCCATTCAAGGAATACAAAGCACACACAGGAACTTGCGTGGATAACAACAGCCTGCAATGCTGTGCACTCAGCTCTTGAAGCGGTCGCAAGTGCATATCAGGGGCGAGGTTGATGAACTGTGATGGATCCCTTCCTTCCGACTCTTGTGCACAGATCTGCCTTTCCCTCGGTCGGCGTCTCAAGCCGAGAGGTCTAGCGGTGAAAATTCTGAACGGATCCTTGAATGCCCCACAGTCCGACCCAAACTTGTCACACCACAGAACAATACACAGGGCAGTGCCAGGGATGGGATTTCAATTTTATCCAGAAGTGGAGCTGCCCAAGCAAGTGCGTGCATCCCGAACCAGCTGCTGTTGGGACAGACCAAAGGGGGGCTCTGCACAAGTTCACCCCGCAAGGCCCTTCAGCTGTCCGCCGCAAAACCGGGCTAGGTGGAGTGCTTGGCACCCCCATGCTCCCAGGCCCACTCGCAGGTCTGCTGCTACAACCTAGGCGATGGGGGCGCCCAAGACTATTGGAGTAGAGGCAAGGAGCAGTGGTTGAAGCTGTCTTCATGACTTCATGTCTACGCTTGAACACCCTGAGCTGAGAACTCCACGTCACATCAAGTCGGCGGAGCCTGGGGCGTAGTGCGGAACCGTCCAGAACCAACAACCCAAAACGCACTGCTCATGTCAGGAAATCTCCACAAACCAAGCTCTCCCCCAACATGTTGTCGAGGACAAAACCCCAGCTGTGAGATGCACGAATGATGCTGGACTGTGTTGTTTTCTGACGGGGGGACCAGCACAAATGCCACCTTTCCCGAAAGTTACCCTTTCCGGCAATCACCAACTCAAATGGGGGTGTCCGAACTTCAAAAACACCCAAAACACAAGCCCTAAGTGAGGCTTCCCCTCGTCTTTTGGTGTGTCGCGTCTGGTGGCCATACCCTACATGGACGTCTCCCTCGAAAAGTCGGGGGCCCAGGCGCTTCCGGGTCTTCTCCTCAAGTTTCGGCAAGCCCTCCACGCCCAGCTTGTGCTGGATCACGAAGCCCTGGCCGTGCACTGCTCCAGGTTTCCGGAGTCGCTTTGTTGGGCTGGAGTCAGGGACGGCAAAAAAAACTCATCCCCAACGGATTCCACAATGTTCAATCGCACCAGGCACGCGGATTGTGGCCCTCCGATGATTGACATATGATTCATGATAGGCATGGCTCAGAGAGAAGAACAGCGTCATGCGCAAGACAGCCCGGTACCACGCATGTGGAAGTGAGATCGTCTACATCTTCTCCAATTGCAAAAATCGGCAGCTCAAACGTGCAAGCTTGGAGTGTGAGTTGGGAGGGAGCTACAAAAGCTCGCAAGGCCCCGCCTTCGGCAGCAGTTTTCGAATCTGCTCGCGCATTTGCCGGTAGGCCGTCTGGCGATGCTTGCCACCCAACAATCACACGAGCAGGCATCCCTAACAGCATCGTGTGACGCAACTGCCAAGACCCAAGCGATCACAAATAAGATCTTTCAAAAACGTCTGCCTGATTTCGCTTCGGTCAAACACGGACGGCCTTTTTGTGACCCTTGACGTTTTGCCCCGCGACATGACACCCGGAGCCCATTTCTTTGACCCACTGGACTCTTGCAAAGGCCTGCACGGAGCCCTCGCTGACTTTCACCACCGTGGCCACATCTGCCAGCCTGCACGACCGAATCTGCCACGTCAAAATGAAATATTGCACAAGCCCTTTCCTCAAAAGCACATGACTTATTGAGTCCCCCGGTTTTGCAGGAAATTCAGTGAGTTGTCCCGTATTCCGACCAAATGAACCAAAGACCAAAAAGGTTGACCAAACCTCACGTGGGTGTTGCCTAAGCGCAACCTCTCGGATAGCATCCTTGCCGTGCTTTCCCCTTCACAGCTGTTCAAACGTGTGGCATTAACAGTTACAGGCATCGCGAGGGTCCACATCACAAATCAAAAGCACTCTCCTCGAGGGAGAAATGCGCATGTGCCTCCTGTCAACAAAGTGGTATTTGCGGCTGTGAGGGGCAATATCTCAAAAAATACACCCTCAAGTTGAAGCGGATTTCTGGAGTCGGAAGCAAACGCATGTGCCTGTGTTTGAGGCTCCGTACTTTGGGGTTACAGGGAAACCAAAAGGAAAACTCCACCATTTCCGGCTGAATCCGATGAGGCGCAAGCAAATGTGGAGTTGCGGCCTGGGCTTGATCTCCGCATCCAGCAGCCAGGCCACGATGAAGATGGCACTGGCCATGGCCGCCGCAGCCAGGGAGTGCTCCAGCAACCCCTTGCCGGGCGGGGGCCCGGGAGGGCAAAGACGATCGGCACCACCAAAAGGGGAGCCTTTTTGGGGGGCGGCTACGAAGGGAAACGAACCAACCACTTTGGGGGGCACCTTTTTTGAGACACGCCTGGTAGAAGGGTTGGTGACCACCCTCATGCAAGCGATGTCCATCCAAAACCGATTGAATTTCCCCTGACATGGCTGGCGAAGGAATTCCCAAAAGTGGAAAAGGAATCACAACGGCAGGCTTGGGAATACCGCTGAAGAAACTTCAACTAATCAGGATCTGATGCTGGCTCAAGCAGGGATGCGCCAACAACAACCGACTGACTCTCTTTCGGACTTCCCAGGATGGACTGGCCACTTCTTTCCCAGCAGGAAAATTCGCCTCGGCCCCCAGGGCCGGGAAGCGGTCAGACCCCTTCAGAACCTCTTTGGGATCCTCCAAAACCCCATCCCCAACACCCTTCCCCACTTCGAAACTGGTCCGCCCGACCCCTGCAGACAGCTCACGCAAACACAAAACTTCAAGGCAAACTAAAGCACCGTGTATACCTCAAAGCCAGCCAAAAGCGGACTGGCCGAGGCGGGCAACGCGAAGCTTTTACAATTAGCTGACTTGTTTGAAATGTCCGCCCATGATTCACAACCATGTGGGCTCAAACACCCAGGAGCCAATATCCGAGCAGGAACGTTGCAATTGTTTAACTGCGGGGAACCTTGACCATAGCTTCGTTCATCTCCAAGCCATCTTCGCAGGCCTACTGCGAAAAGGCCCTACTGCAAAGACTGCCAAGCACACCCGCTTTTCGCCTTGCCCTGCTTCACGAAGTCGTGCCTTAGCAACTCAGGGCTGTGAGCCGAGCCGAACTGTCTACCAGATCTTTCCCATGAGATCTGAATTGCCCTGTGAGCATGATTTCCTCCCAGAATCACATGAGCTCATAGACCAAGTTTGACATGGCCTTGTGGAAACGCTGGAGAGCCCGGCTGCAAGGCTTGATTGGCGATGTGCATTGCGGGTGCCACCACCTAGGCAGCATCGGCACATGAACACTCAACGCAGTTCGGCGCCTTTGGATTGTTCTGCTGAAAGATTCGATTGCTACAAGGAACCAAGAAAAGGTTAGTCGTCACCTTCAACTTGCAAAGAAACAAACCGCTCCACCGCTCTCTTGGCTTGTGACACCCACGCCTGCGCCGCAAGACCCAAACGGGCCACATAGCGCTTGGCCAGATCCTCGCTAATGCGTGCCAAAGCGGTTTCTCCGACAACGCAAATCGTGTGTTGTTGCGGGTCTCTGTGTGTGTGTGTGCATGTGTATATATACATACATATATACATACAAATAACCATACATAAATATATATATATATATGTACAATCGTGTATATATATATACATATGTTATGTATGTATGTATGTATGTATGTATGTATGTATGTATGTATGTATGTATGTATGTATGTATGTATGTATGTATGTATGTATGTATGTATGTATGTATGTATGTATGTATGTATGTATGTATGTATGTATGTATGTATGTATGTATGTATGTATGTATGTATGTATGTATGTATGTATGTATGTATGTATGTATGTATGTATGTATGTATGTATGTATGATTGTATTGTATTGTATTGTATTGTATTGTATTGTATTGTATTGTATTGTATTGTATTGTATTGTTGTGTTGTATTGCATGTATGTATGTAATGTATGTATGTGTGTATGTATGTATGTATGTATGTATGTATGTATGTATGTATGTATGTATGTATGTATGTATGTATGTATGTATGTATGTATGTATGTATGTATGTATGTATGTATCTATGTATGTATGTATGTGTGTATGTGTGTATGTGTGTATGTGTGTATGTGTGTATGTGTGTATGTGTATGTGTGTATGTGTGTATGTGTATGTGTATGTATGTATGTATGTATGTATGTATGTATGTATGTATGTATGTATGTGTATGTATGTATGTATGTATGTATGTATGTATGTATGTATGTATGTATGTATGTATGTATGTATGTATGTATGTATGTATGTATGTATGTATGTATGTATGTATGTATGTATGTATGTATGTATGTATGTATGTATGTATGTATGTATGTATGTATGTATGTATGTATGTATGTATGTATGTATGTATGTATGTATGTGTGTGTAATGTGTCTGTGTGCGTGTATGTGTGTGTGTGTGTCTGTGTGTGCATGTGTGCATGTCTGGATCTTTATGTTTATCTGTGTGTGTCTGTCTGTCTGTCTGTCTGTCTGTCTGTCTGTCTGTCTGTCTGTCTGTCTGTCTGTCTGTCTGTCTGTCTGTCTGTCTGTCTGTCTGTCTGTCTGTCTGTCTGTCTGTCTGTCCGTCTGTCTGTCTGTCTGTCTGTCTGTCTGTCTGTACGTATGTCTTCATTATTCATGTAGGTATGGATGTATGTATGCTTTCATGCGTGCATGTTTGTTTGCGTCTATGGTTGTTTGTATACAGGAACAACTGAGTCCATGCATCATCTAAGTCTGGCGTTGTTGATTGTGCTGCCTATCCATGCGTATGCAAATATCTGTATAGAGAGAGAGAGAGAGAGATTTATAGCGAGTGAGTTTGCTACCCAACCTAACAAGCACGTACGCTCGCATTGAGGACTCAACAGGTGCGCCCGAAAGCGAAACAGCTCTTCCCATGTTCTCTCCTCCTCAACGGAGCTGATGCGAGTGCGCGTACGACCCAAGTCCTGGGTGCCAGCCAGAAAAGTGGCAGTCGCGCATGTGACACTGGACAACTTCGCTATGGCTGAACCCCTGGGGATGCTATGCTGCCGGCGATGCAAAGCAGCTGACTCTGCTTGGCGATATTCTTGGCGATCTTCTCCTCATGCTTGGCCTGAAGCAGAGATTCAGTTGAGGGAAACATGCAACAAACAGCCTCCAGGATCTGCAGCCGGCAAGCATTGACTCTGTTGACCCTCCAAGTCGCAAGCCGCCAGCAAGAAATATCTCATTATCAAAGCAGCACGGCGCATCGCAAAACCACATCCTTGACCAACCAAAAAGTAAAAGCCCCAGCCGCGCGCTTTAAGCTGCTCATGGCACTGAGTTGTCAACCTGGTTCAGCTCGTCCACTTGCTTTCGCAGGTGCTCCTCAATCTGGCCCGCATGAGCCTGCAGCCGGGGACATGCGCAACTACTTGCGGGCCTATGTGATGGTCATGGTTTATGATAGAACCTGGCTGCTGCCGGCCATACAAAGGCAACCCAGAATGGATGGAATGAACATGAACAATCCAGGCCACATAAACATGCAGCTGCTCACCTCTAACTTTCATGGTGGCCTGATGCAGAAACCAACAGGAATGGACTGCAAGGAAAAGGTGTGTGCGCTTCAAGATCACGCCTGCTGAAACGCCATTTGCCTGAGCCCGTCATGTTCAACGTGAAGGGAAATCGAGATCTGCATGTGCGGCCGATGTGCGAAAATGACATTTTAACCAAAGAAGCTGCGCCTCTTCAACTGATGTGTCCAACAAATCTCAATTGGACTGGCAGTATCTCAGGATCAAACGGTGTGATCTGATAGAAAATTGCCTATGGCGCCTATGGCATGCAACCGGTTGACGGAAATGTAAATCAGATCCCCCGACACCCGATCCGCCCGTCCTCTCTGGCACCTTGCCAGGTGACCATACAAGTGGCCTCGCGATCTTGAGATTGCTTCCCAAATGGGGACCCCGTTTTTTTGTGGCCGTAAAGGGAAACCGAAACGAAATGCACAGGTCTTGCTGGGCCCCCTGTTTTAAGACGCACCCAAATGTTGCATTTCACACACTTTTTCCGATGGAATTCAGACCGCTTCTATAGCCCGTATGAGCGTCAAAAGCGCTGCTTTCCCTCCTCAAAAAAAGCCTTTCTTTCCAAATCAGTCAGTGACAAACGGCCTGGCAGAAGCCAAGCAATCCACACACATGCTCTTAAACTAGGAAGTTACGTTCAAACATAACTTGGAGTGGCTGGAGAGCACCCAGCCATCAACAATTGCAGGCAGCAATTGGCCCGAAAATGAGCTTGGCAAAATGGGGGATCACATGCGATCTGTAGCCAAATAGGCAAAGGACAATGGCTGGTTATACCTGGGAGGCTGGCATTGTCATCAGGCTAATTGTTCGGGGTTGAGCGCTTGCCTCTTGCGTGCCTAGGCAACACCGCATGCCCACATCATCAGCCCACCTCATTGCTGCCAGGCAGTCGCTGCAAGGGTGCTAGTGTCACCTGGCGTGGCGACATCAGCAATGCTAGCCCATAGGAAAAAGGAAATGGGTGCGGATGTATTTTTGGGTTTTTCTCTTTTCCCCAGATAGCTGAAAGCTATAGGGGTTCTAACTTCCAATAAAGAAGGGAAAGTGATTTGCGAGATTGAGGGCCGGGTGCTGGGGGGCATGCAGTTTGGGGCGCTGGTGGAGGTGCTGTTTTGCGAGCTTGACGGCCGGGTGTTAGGGGGCATGCAGTTTGGAGTGCTGGTGGAGGCGCCCCTTTGCGAGATTGACGGCCGGGTGCTAGGGGGCACGCAGTTTGGGGCATTGGTGGAGGTGCTGGTTTGCGAGATTGATGGCCGGGTGCTAGGGGGGCATGCAGATTGGGGTGTTGGTGGAGGTGCTATTTTGCGAGATTGACGGCCAAGTGCTAGGGGTCATGTAGTTTCGGATGCTGGTGGAGGTGCCGCTTTGCGAGATTGACGGCCGGGTGCTAGCGGGCATGTAATTTGGGGTGCTAGTGGCGGTGCTGTTTCGCGATGCAGTTTGGGGTGCTGTTTGAGGCGCTGGTGGTGGCGCAGGCGCATTCTTGCAAGATTGATGGCGCATGCAGTTTGGCGAGCTGATGCAGCTGTTTTGGCGTACTGTTTCGGTTTGAGGTGCTGCTGACGTTGTGAGCGCAATTTTCGGACATTGCCGGCGGGCGCTAGGGGGCAGGCGCAGGTGCTTGTTTTGAGTTGCTGTTGGAGGACGGCTGGGAGCTGGGGGGCATGCACTTTGGGTTACTGGCGCAGGTGCGGTTTTGTGGTGACAGTACGTGACGGCAGGGTGCTTGGGGACGTGTCCGGCGCTGGCGCGCGTGGGGCGCTGTTGGGGCTGCTGTTTTGGGGCGTCGCATATGGATGGCAGGGTGCTAGGGCGGGCGCTGTTTGGGGTATCGTGGCTGTCGCATCGTCATGATGCTTGCCGCAGCATCATGATGCTGGCCGCACCGATTCAGACGTTGTTGCTTGCTCGAACTGTCGCGTGTAATGGTTCGTGGCTGGTGTGTCATCATGATGTTGTCAACCACGTCAAGATGCTGCTGCAATTGCTCCGATGCTGCATTATGCTTCGTGGGTGTGGCGGCGGAAGAATGCTGTCAACATCAGGATGATGCTGAATTTCATTGCACTGTCGCAAAATGATTCGTGGCTGTGGTATCCTCGTATCACCATGATGCTGTGAGCATCACCATGATGCTGTCCGCATATATGATGCTGTCGAACTCATCAGGACGTCGTCTCTGCCTTGTTGTCTGCTAGATATGTAGCGTGGAATCGTTCGAGGCTGGTGTGTCAGCATCATCCTGTCAACGCTGAACTCACTAGGACGTTGTCCGCGCGTCTATCTAGCGCACTATGCTGAGTAGCTGTGGTATCCTCATGATGCTGTCAACATCATCAAAATATTGTCAACATCAGCATGATGCCGCCGGAACCATTATGATGCTGTCTCATGGTTCGTAGCCGTAGTGTGCTATCTGGGGTCTATGCTGGTGCAATTGTTTGATGTTTTTTTTAGTTTTTCGTCCGGGCCAGTAAAATGTTGTATTTTACCGCATTTTCTCGCGAGATTGGCGCATTTTAGCCATTGCCTTGAGATTGCAACCCCAAGTCCACTTCGGTCTGCTGAGCATAGGAAGCCAGCTCTGCTGGTGGCAGGACTCCTCAGCAAACACAAGTGCACCCACAGACCTACACAAGAGCCACACTGGCACTCACCCAACCAAAAAAACAAAACACAACGCTTGCAGCTGTGGTGCTTTCCATGTGGTCCCAAAGTGGCTCCATAACAGACCTCCACATGTTGGCTGCTGGCAGCTTGCAGCCACAGCTGCACCAATGCAGCCTGAAGCGCTGCCTGTCCTGAGCCTCCATCAGCACCTCTGCAAGGAGCTCCACATGACACATTCTGGGATGCAGTGCCAAGTGCAAGTGCTTCTTGGTGTGACAGGATGGGGTGGCCTCCCCAGTTTTGCAGCAGCTCATGTCGGAGGTCGCACACAAAACCTGCCTGTTGCTCCATTTCAGCAACTGTTGCACCTGCATGCAGGGTGTGGCACAGCCCTGAGTGTCCATGGGTCCTGATGGCACACTTCCAGGCCAGCAGGGAAGTCAGTTCCTGACCTGGCAGGGCTGCCACCAATCCTCCAATACTCGGTCAGAAGAGGAAGAGCAGCTGGCAGAACTTGCATGGAAATGAAGTCAATGTCCCAGTGGTCAGCATGTGCCTCCATGTAGTCTGCTAGCAAGCCTGTGACTGGCAAAACGGGCTCCTCTGCCTCCTCTCCTGCATCCCTTGCCCTTGCTCCCTCTGCCTCCTCTGCTGGCTCTGCTGCAACCTCTGCCCTGACCACTCCTCCTTCTTCAACCCTTGCCCTTGGCTCTGGGAATGCTGCAACCTCTGCCCTGACCACTCCTCCTTCTTCAACCCTTGCCCTTGGCTCTGGGAAGTTTGCAGGCCTGGGCTGCTTGCCTTGCAGCCTCCTCAACCCTCTCTGCAACTGGGACTGTGCATGGGGCCTTCCACTGAGGAAGTACAAGGGGTTGGTGAGAGGTGTGATGTCCGAAGACCTCGCGCCATCGATGCTGGCGAGAGACTCGCCTCGCTGCCTGACTGCAGTAGTAAGGAAGAGGGGCTTCTACTACCCAAAAAAAAAGTGCGTTTTTGCACAAGCCCGTCAACATCCCCAGCATCGTTTTCAACATCCCCCGCATGTCCGACCAACATCCCTAGCATCACCAACAAATCGTGGGTAACAAAATCAAAAAAAGTAGCTGGCGGGTTGACGGGGTCAAAAAAATGATGATTCAAAAAGGAGGGCATTTCAATCCCTGTTTTAGAGAAAAAGTAGCAGGGGGTTGGGGGGGGCGGCAGCCCCCCCATGATGTTGTTCGCAGAAGTGATGATTTGAATAGGGGAGCAATTAAATCTCTGCAAAAAGTCTAAAAAGTAGCGGGGGGGTTGGGGGGGGGCGGCAGCCCCCCCCATGATGTTCGAAGAATTGATGATTCAACTAGGGGTGCAATTAATTAAATCTCTGTAGAAAATCTAAAACGTAGCGGGGGGGCTGGGGGGGCGGCAGCCCCCCCATGATGTCGGAAGAAGTGATGATTCAAGTAGGGGTGCAATGATTCAAGAAAGGGTGCGATAGAATTTGAAAGGCAGCGGGAGGGTTGGCGAGGGTGGCTTCCCCTATGATGTTCGAAGAAGTACATATATACAGACATACATGGACTACATAGAATACCTAAAATGTCGTATTTTGCAGCATTTTCTCGCGAAATTGGACGCTCGAAAAGTGATGATTGGACTAGGGGTGCCATTCCATCTCTGCAAGATAAATCCAAAAAGTAGCGGGGGGGAGGCGGCAGCCCCCCCCATGATGTTTGAAGAAGTGTTGATTCAAATAGGGGTGCAATTACTCTGCAAGCAATCTAAACAGTGGCGGGTGGGTGCGGGGGGGGGGGGGCCTTCCCCCGTGCCATGGACACCTAGAGTCTATTTTGCAACCAAGAACCCTAAAAAACCAAGACCCTAAAAGAAGGAGGTTGCAAAATAGACCCCAAGTGTCCACCATACGGCCTTCCCCCCCTATGATGCTTGAAGAAGTGATGACTCAAATAGGGCGGAACTGGTGATGCTGATGATGCGGGAAGCCACATCCAAAAACCAATGAAAGGGTGCAACAGCCAAAAAGCCCGGACAGGAACTGGGAAAGCAGAGGATGCAAAAAGCTAAAACCGCCAAAAGCCGCATAAACCAGCGAAAAGCCGTAAAAGCCAAAATGCCACCTGCCAAAGAGGAATGCAGAGGATGCGAAAGGCAGAAGCTGAGAAGCCAAAAAGCCGAAAAGCCAAGAAGCCAACCAAGAAGCCAAAAAGCCAAGAAGCCAAGAAGCCAAGAAGCCAAGAAGCCAAGAAGCCAAGAAGCCAAGAAGCCAAAAGCCAAGAAGCCAAAAAGCCAAGAAGCCAAGAAGCCAAAAGCGTATTAAAAAAAAAAAAAAAACGGACAAACAAATATGAAAAATACCCCTCCAAAGGAAATGGACCTATCTGTCCCTACAATCATTATTTTTGAACCCATCAGCCAACCGCATTGGAGCCTCGGCTAACACGCCTGCCATCCACCGATCCCACGCAGGATCAAGCATTCCGCCACCGGAAATCTTGGACCGGATCAAATAGTTTTCTGAAAACGAAGCCCTGCGAGCGGATCCGGCCGTTGCTCATACTCTGAGTTTCTCCATGACATATCACCAGTCCGGCAAAGGTCTTGGGACTTTGCGGCAGTGCATTGGACAGACCAACGACGAGCCAAAGTCATGAGGTGCTCCCGTGGCTGCGGGGGGGGGGGCTAATTGACGAGTTCCAATGAAGGGTAAACTGCTCTTAGTGGCAAAGGCACGAATCCGACGTCGCAAACGTCGAAACGTCGCGCCTGCACGCCGTCAAAGGCCAGGGACTTTGCCAGGACCTTGGTGGCCTGTGGAGCTTTGAAGTTGGCCCGCAGGGCTCGGCCCTCCAGCGGCTGCACCTGCAGGAGCTCCACCTGGAGCCAAGCTAAAGTGGTGTCTTGCCTTTTGGCGTTTGGCTCTTTGTCCTTTGGAAGTCAGTTTGATTGATGTGTTTTAATCAAAATCAGACCAGTGATTTGGGTTGTCAGCTCTTCCTATTGAACTCGGAGTAACCTGAGTCTGATTGAGATCCTACACATACCAGTTCATCTGCGTCTTGGTGGATGCTGGGCCAAGCTTAGAAGCAAACGCTGAGGGTCAGGCGGCCAAAAGCCATGGGCAAATCCGAAAATGCTGAGGAAGGAAGAAGATACTGGACAGAAAAAGCTGGGAAAGCAAACGACTACTGATGCATAAGACGCAAAGCATACGATGCGAAGGAAACCGAGAACTCCCGGACCATGAAAACTGCAAGCCAAGCCCAAAAGCATGAGTGCAGAAAGCTCAATGGGTTCGTGTGGCAAAAACGATGCCACGCAATTTGTAAAAGCGGGCTCTGATACCACTGATACCGCCCTCCGCTGCAAACATGAGAGCATGCTTGTGGTATTGTCAGCTGGGCACATCCACGCTCTTCTTACATTCAGTGTCGCGCTCAGGCAGATGGCCACAACTCACATAGAATCTGATGGCAAATGTGCCAGTCGAATTGAGGAACTTCTTTGGTGACCGCAATAAAAAGGACCAAATTGGGTTGTTGATTGGGGGACCCGCACCCAAATTGATGAACCTTTGGGTCGTTTCCGCTTTTGAAGCGGCGCCGCTGAACTGCGCTCGCCTCGGCTTTCATGGCGAATGCGCCGCTGTTGGCCTGCGCGAGGTCGTGCACCGTCTTGGTGATTCCCTCCTGACGGCACGGCCCCAACCGCTGCCGGGCCGGACGTCAGACCCTCTGGCCAGGATTCCAGAAACCCCTATTGAACCACATCGCTTGCCTACATCCCCCAATCAGGGGTCCATACACATCCCAACTAGGCCCAAAGTCCGATGGCACAACGGACCCCCTCAGAAATGCTCTCAAACTTGGGATGCGGCTCCTCCCGACATGCCATCTCCACCAGGGCGCAGAAGAAGGGCACCTTCTATCTCGCAGGGCAGTGGGCATAGCGAAGATCCAATGCATGTTGAACTGTTCGGCCGTAGGGCTCCGCAGAGGCTATTGCTTGAATAAGCCTTGCTTTCCTATTGAGAAATGGTGGCAATGTTGCCTTACGAAACAAAGCAAACAATTAAATACCTGTCTACCCAACATCCAAACTACAAGATCCATCGACCCATCGGCGTGCTGATCACGCGACTTTGACTGCGCCCTGCCTTCATGTGAGACTTCAGCTTGTTCTTCTCCGCCAACTCCTTGCGAATTGAAAGCGGGAGAGGCAAAGGATCACTCACAGAGTGGTCCTGGGGATTGGTCGTTGATATAGCCTGAGTATGACTGAGTGCTCCTTGTATTTCAAGAAAAAAACGTTTCATGCTTGGCATCTCCTCAGCATGTTTGCACCTTCTCGATCCGTTCCTTTGCAATGGCAATCCTCACTTTGCAAGTAAAAAGCTTAGGTCGCTCGGCTGCCGCAGCCAAAAGCAAGCGGTTTCCAGCCATATGGTGAGCACCTAACAAAAATCCAAATCGGTCTCTCGGTCTTGCTAGCAAGGGATCCTGGAGATACCCTCCCCAAAATCAAAGCTGTGAGTAAATATTTGTACGATGGACAAAAACTGCGGCAGCACTCTTCCACTGTCCCAAGTCCTGCATCAGTGTTGTGCAGCGGTTGACCTCAAAGCAAGGCTCTGATACGCCTCGAGTACCAAATCGCAGTGAATATGTACCTCAAGCCTGCTTGGGGCGCCGGCGACTTCCTCGCCCAGGTTCAACCGTTGGGCCACCTCCCGCGCCTGATCGAAGCTCCACCCCGTTTTGGCATCCGTACATGGCAGGCGCGAGAAATCGGTGGATTGGGTCAAGGGCAGAAAACAAAAGCCAGCATGAGGCTAAACGAAGACATGTACCAGGAGTACGGCGTTTTCCCGGGAGTCAAGAAGCAATTCAGCACAAGTGAACGCTATAAACGCTGAACCTTGCACACCTGGGAAATAGCCAGAGAAGCAAACGAGTCACCAATGCCTGAATTTCCACGGCGAAAAGCTTCTAGCCTCCAAACACGGGCCATCGAAACTCTTCAAAGCAAGCGTTCCATGGCTCACAAGACTTTTGCGTGAACAAACAAGAAAGCAAGCAAGCAAGCAAGCAAGCAAGCAAGCAAGCAAGCAAGCAAGCAAGCAAGCAAGCAGGCAGGCAAGCAAACAAACAACTAAACAAAACAAACAAACACAACAAACAAATACGCTAAATCTGGTGCATGCAATTCTCTCTGCGTAGAAATACAAACCCGCAAGCATCGCCTTTGGTCGCACCCTCCAACGCGTGGGAAACCCGCAAACAAGCTCCAACCCTCGCTTTCATAGGTGCAGCAACTTCCTTCTGTGAAGACTTTCCACGGCAGGCGCTTGCATTCAAGAACACTGTCTCTGGGCAACAGCCAAGAGCTAACGGCAACTGCTGCGCTCGCATATGCGCGTCTCTCTCTGAGGTGTCCAAAACTGTCACATGCACGCACCCTCCGACTCGAGAACCGCCGCAAGTCTGACTGTCCCCGCTGAAATGAGTGAACACCACCTTCTCTGGAGCTTAACTACGGCAGGGCTCAACTGCAACAAAGCCTCTGCCGACGCTTGTCTCCACAATATCCACTTTCTGCACTCTTGTCTGTCTTAACTACCTCCGCTTGGCAAAAGGCAAACAAGCTCAGGAATCTGACACACGTCGCACATCTCTGCAATCCGCAACCACTGCCAACACGCAGATCCGCGTTCACATTTCAGTCACAAACCATAGTCTGACACCGTCTATGTTAGCACCCTCCGACGCGTGGGAAACCCGCAAACAAGCTCAACCCTCGCTTTAATGAGTGCAGCAACTTCTTATGTGGAGACTTTCTACGGCAGGTGCCTGCATTCAAGAACACTGCCGACTCTCATCTCCGGCCAAACGGCCAAACGGCCAAACGGCCAAACGGCCGACGGCTAAAGCAAACAACGCCCCGGCCCTGGGGCACGCCACTGCCGTTTACTCCCTCACTTCACTCTTGCAACGGCTTTCCCCCTTTGTCCCTTTCTCGATGTGGTTTCCAAACCTGCCACATGCACGCACCCTCCGACTCGAGAACCGCCGCAAGTCTGACTGTCCCCGCTGAAATGAGTGCACACCACCTTCTCTGGAGCTTAACTACGGCAGGGCTCAACTGCAAAAAAGCCTCTGCCGACTCTTGTCTCCACAATATCCACTTTCTGAACTCTGCTCTGTCTTTACTACCTCCGCTTGACAAAAGGCAAACAAGCTCAGGAATCTGACGCATGTCACACATCTCTCAAATTCGCAAGCACTGCCAACACGTAGGTCCGCGTCCACATTTCAGTCACAAACAACAGCCTGACACTGTCTATGTTAGCACCCTCCGACGTGTGGGAAACCCGCAAACAAGCTCAACCCTCGCTTTAATGAGTGCAGCAACTCCTTATGTGGAGACTTTCTACGGCAGGTGCGTGCATTCAAGAACACTGCCGACTCTCGTCTCCGGCCAAACGGCCAAACGGCCAAACGGCCAAACGGCCAACGGCCAAAGCAAACACCGCCCCGTGCCCCAGCACCGTCACTGCCGTTTACTCCCTCACTTCACTCTTGCAACGGCTTTCCCCCTTTGTCCCTTTCTCGATGTGGTTTCCAAACCTGCCACATGCACGCACCCTCCGACTCGAGAACTGCTGCAAGTCTGACTGTCCCCGCTGAAATGAGTGCACACCACCTTCTCTGGAGCTTAACTACGGCAGGGCTCAACTGCAAACAAAGCCTCTGCCGACTCTTGTCTCCACAATATCCACTTTCTGAACTCTGCTCTGTCTTTACTACCTCCGCTTGACAAAAGACAAACAAGCTCAGGAATCTGACGCATGTCACACATCTCTCAAATACGCAAGCACTGCCAGCACACAGATCCGTCCAAATCTCAGTCACAAACAACAGCCTGACACTGTCTATGTTAGCACCCTCCGACGCGTGGGAAACCCGCAAACAAGCTCAACCCTCGCTTTAATGAGTGCAGCAACTTCCTTCTGTGGGGACTTTCTACGGCAGGTGCCTGCATTCAAGAACACTGCCGACTCTCGTCTCCGGCCAAACGGCCAAACGGCCAAACAGCCAAACAGCCAAATGGCCGACGGCCAAAGCAAACAACGCCCCGTGCCCCGGGGCCGTCACTGCCGTTTACTCCCTCACTTCACTCTTGCAACGGCTTTCCCCCTTTGTGATTTGGTTTCCAAACCTGCCACATGCACGCACCCTCCGACTCGAGAACTGCCGCAAGTCTGACTGTCCCCGCTGAAATGAGTGCACACCACCTTCTCTGGAGCTTAACTACGGCAGGGCTCAACTGCAAAAAAGCCTCTGCCGACTCTTGTCTCCACAATATCCACTTTCTGAACTCTGCTCTGTCTTTACTACCTCCGCTTGACAAAAGGCAAACAAGCTCAGGAATCTGACGCATGTCACACATCTCTCAAATTCGCAAGCACTGCCAACACACAGATCTGCGTCCACATTTCAGTCACAAACAACAGACTGACACGCGTGGGAAACCCGCAAACAAGCTCAACCCTCGCTTTAATGAGTGCAGCAACTTCCTTCTGTGGAGACTTTCTACGGCAGGTGCCTGCATTCAAGAACACTGTCCTCTTTGGCCAAACGGCCAAACGGCCACACGGCCAAAGCAAACAACGCCCCGTGCCCCAGGGCCGTCACTGCCGTTTTCTCCCTCACTTCACTCATGCAACGGCTTTCCCCCTTTGTCCCTTTCTCGATGTGGTTTCCAAACCTGCCACATGCACGCACCCTCCGACTCGAGAACTGCCGCAAGTCTGACTGTCCCCGCTGAAATGAGTGCACACCACCTTCTCTGGAGCTTAACTACGGCAGGGCTCGACTCTTGTCTCCACAATAACCACTTTCTGCACTCTGCTCTGTCTTTACTACCTCCGCTTGGCAAAAGGCAAACAAGCTCAGGAATCTGACGCATGTCACACATCTCTCAAATTCGCAACCACTGCCAACACGCAGATCCGCGTCCACATTTCAGTCACAAACCATAGTCTGACACCGTCTATGTTAGCACCCTCCGACGCGTGGGAAACCCGCAAACAAGCTCAACCCTCGCTTTAATGAGTGCAGCAACTTCTTATGTGGAGACTTTCTACGGCAGGTGCCTGCATTCAAGAACACTGCCGACTCTCATCTCCGGCCAAACGGCCAAACGGCCAAACAGCCAAACAGCCAAATGGCCGACGGCCAAAGCAAACAACGCCCCGTGCCCCGGGGCCGTCACTGCCGTTTACTCCCTCACTTCACTCTTGCAGCGGCTTTCCCCCTTTGTCCCTTTCTCGATGTGGTTTCCAAACCTGCCACATGCACGCACCCTCCGACTCGAGAACTGCCGCAAGTCTGACTGTCCCCGCTGAAATGAGTGCACACCACCTTCTCTGGAGCTTAACTACGGCAGGGCTCAACTGCAAAAAAGCCTCTGCCGACTCTTGTCTCCACAATATCCACTTTCTGAACTCTGCTCTGTCTTTACTACCTCCGCTTGACAAAAGGCAAACAAGCTCAGGAATCTGACGCATGTCACACATCTCTCAAATTCGCAAGCACTGCCAACACACAGATCCGCGTCCACATTTCAGTCACAAACAACAGACTGACACGCGTGGGAAACCCGCAAACAAGCTCAACCCTCGCTTTAATGAGTGCAGCAACTCCTTATGTGGAGACTTTCTACGGCAGGTGCGTGCATTCAAGAACACTGCCGACTCTCATCTCCGGCCAAACGGCCAAACGGCCAAACAGCCAAATGGCCGACGGCCAAAGCAAACAACGCCCCGTGCCCCGTGGCCGTCACTGCCGCTTACTCCCTCACTTCACTCATGCAGCGGCTTTCCCCCTTTGTCCCTTTCTCGATGTGGTTTCCAAACCTGCCACATGCACGCACCCTCCGACTCGAGAACTGCCGCAAGTCTGACTGTCCCCGCTAAAATGAGTGCACACCACCTTCTCTGGAGCTTAACTACGGCAGGGCTCAACTGCAAAAAAGCCTCTGCCGACTCTTGTCTCCACAAAATCCACTTTCTGAACTCTGCTCTGTCTTTACTACCTCCGCTTGACAAAAGGCAAACAAGCCCAGGAATCTGACGCATGTCACACATCTCTCAAATACGCAAGCACTGCCAGCACACAGATCCGTCCAAATCTCAGTCACAAACAACAGCCTGACACTGTCTATGTTAGCACCCTCCGACGCGTGGGACACCCGCAAACAAGCTCACCCTCGCTTTAATGAGTGCAGCAACTTCCTTCTGTGGGGACTTTCTACGGCAGTCGCCTGCATTGAAGAACACTGCCGACTCTCGTCTCCGGCCAAACGGCCGTGCCCCAGAGCCGTCACTGCCGCTTTCTCCCTCACTTCACTCATGCAACGGCTTTCCCCCTTTGTCTCTTTCTCGATGTGGTTTCCAAACCTGCCACATGCACGCACCCTCCGACTCGAGAACTGCCGCAAGTCTGACTGTCCCCGCTGAAATGAGTGCACACCACCTTCTCTGGAGCTTAACTACGGCAGGGCTCAACTGCAAACAAAGCCTCTGCCGACTCTTGTCTCCACAATATCCACTTTCTGCACTCTGCTCTGTCTTTACTACCTCCGCTTCACAAAGGGCAAACAAGCTCAGGAATCTGACGCATGTCACACATCTCTCAAATACGCAAGCACTGCCAGCACACAGATCCGTCCAAATCTCAGTCACAAACAACAGCCTGACACTGTCTATGTTAGCACCCTCCGACGCGTGGGAAACCCGGAAGCAAGCTCAACCCTCGCTTTAATGAGTGCAGCAACTTCCTTCTGTGGAGACTTTCTACGGCAGGTGCCTGCATTCAAGAACACTGCCGACTCTCATCTCCGGCCAAACGGCCGTGCACCAAGGGCCGTCACTGCCGTTTACTCCCTCACTTCACTCTTGCAACGGTTTTCCCCCTTTGTCCCTTTCTCGATGTGGTTTCCAAACCTGCCACATGCGCGCACCCTCCGACTCGAGAACTGCCGCAAGTCTGACTGTCCCCGCTGAAATGAGTGCACACCACCTTCTCTGGAGCTTAACTACGGCAGGGCTCAACTGCAAAAAAAGCCTCTGCCGACTCTTGTCTCCACAATATCCACTTTCTGCACTCTGCTCTGTCTTTACTACCTCCGCTTCACAAAGGGCAAACAAGCTCAGGAATCTGACGCATGTCACACATCTCTCAAATACGCAAGCACTGCCAGCACACAGATCCGTCCAAATCTCAGTCACAAACAACAGCCTGACACTGTCTATGTTGGCACCCTCCGACGCGTGGGAAACCCGGAAGCAAGCTCAACCCTCGCTTTAATGAGTGCAGCAACTTCCTTCTGTGGAGACTTTCTACGGCAGGTGCCTGCATTCAAGAACACTGCCGACTCTCATCTCCGGCCAAACGGCCGTGCACCAAGGGCCGTCACTGCCGTTTACTCCCTCACTTCACTCTTGCAACGGTTTTCCCCCTTTGTCCCTTTCTCGATGTGGTTTCCAAACCTGCCACATGCGCGCACCCTCCGACTCGAGAACTGCCGCAAGTCTGACTGTCCCCGCTGAAATGAGTGCACACCATTTTCTCTGGAGCTTAACTACGGCAGGGCTCAACTGCAAAAAAGCCTCTGCCGACTCTTGTCTCCACAATATCCACTTTCTGAACGCTGCTCTGTCTTTACTACGTCCACTTGACAAAAAGCTCAGGCAACTCGCGCACACAAAATGCTCTCAAGATGCGGCTCAGGTTTTCTCCGGTTTGAATGCATTTCCCCGCTTTTGTGTGATCTCAAACCCAAATTTCATGCCAGTTTCTTGTCAAACGCGGCACGCGACTGCTGATCTTCACGGCCTTAACCCAGCACAAGGCTTCTCGCCGCACTTATCCTCGTCGGCTTGGGCCCTTTGCTGATTTCTGCCCCTGGATGTTGCGTGGAGCCGGCGGATTGGAACCGAAGCCTGGCCACTGGCGCCATCCCCCACTGCGCCTTATCCGTATACTGCTGGATCTGCTTCTCTTGCTTTTGCTGCTCGGTCAGCTCCTAGCCCCCCAAGGAAACTTGGGCTGAGAATCTCAGGAAACAAAGGGAGCTTGAACAAATGGGGTATGCCTCTCTTCAAGCACTGGAACCATACCACAAGAACTTTTCGGGGATGTAAGGGATAGCGAATGCGACATACCGCGGTCCCAGTCACGGACACGCCCATGCACAAAACACACCACACAAAAAACAGGTGGTCCCGTGAGTATGCGCTTGACCGCATCTACCATGCAGCTAAAATTCGTGCGATGCCTGTTTTGGGTCCCTTGAGGGTCTGAAACCATCAAATGATGTCGTAGCCCTGTCTGTCATGTGAGGATTGCTAGAAGAAAACGTCATCAAACTCATGAAGCGCCACATTGGCGCTACTGATAGTTTCAACGACTCAAAGGATGCACTCCCGAAAGCGGCCAGTGCCAAATTGGGAGGATTGGCCCAGCTTCACTGGGCTGCTCCCCTCAGCAGCTGATGGGAGTCGATTTGATGCCCCTCCCACAGCGGGAATCCTCCCACCTCACCTCATGCCCTCCCGGCATTATGGGTGAGGAAGGAAGGAGGCGAAGATCAACATGATCAATTTGCTCCTGGTTGGGGGAAAAAATCCGGTTTCCGACCGGAAATTAGGGATCTCACGTGCGACGGCCCCAACATGACTGGGTTGTCGTGTAGAGTCAGGACTAGCTCCATCAAGATGGCCGCGCTGGGCATCTTGCGAACTGAGTCGTGTTAAAGGGAAAACATGTTCCGGAGTCCTGCTCCTTGGCCTTTTCAGGCGGGCCTCCTCGGCCGCGGCGGCAGTCGAGGGGGACCTGGGCATGGGCACCGTCTTCTCATCCGTATCGAGGATGTCCTCCATGGTGGCGTCTCCTGTGGCGGGTGGAGCAGCGGCCCTCGCCACCTGCGCCAACCCGGGGGTGGCCTCATCCTCCATGGGCACGTCCTCCGCCTTGCGCTTGGCCGGGATGAGAGGGGCCTGCATCTGCGCTTGAGAAGAAATGCTCCTCACAGGCCGGCCTGACGTGCTCAGCCAGGACCGACCAGCCTTCCTCCTCCCTCTGCCTCGCAAGGTACTTTTCCATTAAGGCCCTGGCCTTGGCCTTCGCCTCTGCGACGGTAGCACCCGCATAGGCCGGAGTGTACAAGGGGAGAGACTTTTTTCAAGTCAAGAGCAAGACTGGTTTGGTCCACTTGAGCCAAAATGTTTCCCAAGTGGACCCTTACAATGAGTTAAGTCAAGTGCACACCTACGGCTACACATTTGCCCAAAACAACTGCTGGTTCATCTCTCTCATTCCTGCAGGAGCCTGTGTCTGCAGACATGGTACAACCCGGCCCGGAACAAAACGATTGGGTTGTCTGGACCGTCCGGGCCTTGGGGAATTTCGAGGCCGTGAACGAACACTTCCCAATGAGATCTACCTGCTGGCACAAGGAAACAAACTTTGCAATTCAGTGCGCCAACTTTCCTACGAATTGCGCTAAGTGCAACAGGTCTACATAGATGTGTCACAACTAGCACCTAGGGACACTTTGATCAAACCAAACATATAGAGGAGGCCCTGGTTTTGACACATTCTCTAGCACAAGGCTCGGTTTACTCATCAAGCTCCCCCGCCCCCCCGGCTCCGGCGCGTTGGCGTTTTGCGCACGCCGAGTCAGCGTCTGCATTCGCATCCTGAAGCAAAGTGCAATCTGGAGGCAGCCAAGCACCAGTGTAGCACTGCATTTGCGTGGTATTTAAAGGGAACCAAAACGAAACGAATCATTGTAGGGGACCCCTATTTTCAGAAACACACATTTGGGCTCCTGTAGACTTTGGTGAATCAGGAGAAAACGATAGGCCTATGCAGGCGCAACACCTCTTTGCGGCACAGGCCTGGATTGCTGTAGAGATGGTAACCTGACAGCTTCACCCTTGGTGCAGGGCAAGTCCTGAACCGGGTGCCCCGGCACCGCAGGGCCTGCCCCCATCAAAGTCGTGCCACCCACCTCAGAAAACCAAGCATCAAACAAAGACGAGCAAAGCTCAGTGCAGGTCAGGCATCCTCAAGAGAACCCTGCTGAGAACTGCCTTCCTTGAGAAGGGTGATCAAACGCCGGCAAAAATTGACAGCTCTACAATGAGTCATGGTCAAGACTTCTCCAGACACGTGGGGGATGGTCAGCCCATTGCATCAACTATAGTTGGAATTTCATGTTGCCTCAAAGCTCCACCTTGAACATGCCGCTTACTCCCATGCTCAAACAAGGAGCCCATTGGTTCCCTCGACCAGCCGCGGATTTCCTTTCCCACCCTTTGCCTCGCCGGTGAGCTCGTCAATGCCGGTGGTCGCATCCGCACGCTCGCGGGCAGGAGCCTGACTCAGGCACCGGGGTTTGTATCTGCTTAAACAAACCAACTGGTTCGTTTAGCTTCACACACCAAAGGTACCCTTCTGGATCTTGTGTAAACCAATCCTGCTTAGGATGCCTTCTAATGCACAAACACCCTCAGCTCTCAGAGTGCGTTGCGACCTATTTTCAATATCCCGGCTCCCCACAACCGGCTCTCTTCGAGTGATAGATTATGCATTTGCTGCGCCCATGCGTGGCTCCTGTCCTGGGAGTCGACGCCGTCAGCGGCGAAGACCCGCCACTCACGCCCGTCATCGAAGCAGTGGTCCTGACTGCCGTTTCGATTCGTGGAGCTGCCATGTTCCGCATCTTGCATCTATGGACACAATGGCACCCGCATGAAACACTTCGTGAGAAGCGCTTGCTCTGACACTGTGCTGGCACCCCATTCCATTTCAATTTCATGGCATCCGCTCTGCCTTACAGGCTCGCCAATCGGCTTGGGTGTACTTTGTCTCTCCGAGCCAACCAGGCGAAAACCACGGAGCTACGGCTTCCAGTTCTTGCAACACCTCCCAACGTGTTGCAGGTCCTCGAGCACGAGGCCACAGCCTGATTCAAGGCGCCAACGAGCAGCAAAGGAAGGAGTCTTGGAAAAGGGAACAGGGACAGCGCGTATCCCGGACTGGTAAGTCTCTCTACCTTTGCTAGGTCCCCAATTTCAGTGCCAAAACCAGAGCCCCCACACAACTGAGTCTCCATGTAAATTCAACAGCAGCCCAACAGAAGTCCAAGATATGCTCGGCTTCATTCTCTCTTCAAGACCCTGCTTGAAACTCTATGGTAGTTCACCAGACTGGAATTCATCCATGCTCTCGTCTGGAGAACGCCAATGAAACAGGTGCTTGCAACGATCGAGGCATCATGGGCCCATATTCCTCGAACTGCAAATAGCTATAACTCAGCAAAGACTCAGATGTGGTATCCGTGTGAGTGCTACCTCTCTGCTAATTGCAAACCGCTAATCATCTGGGCTCACACCTCTTCAAGCCCGTCCCAACGAACGACACTCTCAGTGCGATGATTCGCGACCGATCAACTGGCGTGCCTGTACAAATCACACAGCCCTGCGAGGCATCGACCGTCACCTGTGCCGAAGTTCACATCGGCCTATTGCACTAACCTACTTGATGCCAGATCTCACTTAAGGCCGGGTGCCATGTCAAATCATGCCACCAGCTTGAGAAGTCTTAGAGAAGAGCTTCACCCTGTCGGAAAAATGCTTGTGGCCAGGATGCTGGGCATCCCTCATCTCATGCCATAACACTGTGATTGGTTCATCTTGTTGAGCTGGTTGGAGGAAGCGCATGGCACCTCATAGACCCTTCTGACCCAAAACTACCCTGGCCTCGGCACTGCCCTTGCAGTACTGGCATGCATTCCTGCGACACCGCTCAACTCCGCACGAAACGGAGCATGATCTCGTGTAATTGGCTTGTCCCCTCAACGTTGCATCCCCCGATTCAAGGGACTGCGGCTTGCAGTTGTTCTGGCGATCTACGACTCAGCACAGCACACAGTCCAAACAGGTGCAGGTCCTGGGGTTGATGGCGATTTCGGTCATTGGACCTTAGGGAGCAGGAGGGAAAGCTTACCGAGCCCTCAAGACGCATTGTCAGGCTGGGTCGCTGGCAGCTGTTACGAGATCAGCACCATGGGGCGCAAAATGCCCAATAAACCCCTGGACATTTAAATTGCTTGAGCTTTGTGTGTGTGTGTGTCTCTATGTGTCTGTGTGTGCCTGTCTCTGTGTGTCTGTGTGGTGTGTGTGTGTGTCTGTGTATGTCTGTGTGTGTCTCTGTGTGTTTGTGTGGGTGCATAGGCGTGTAAGGAGGGGGGTCATCTATCCTAGGCTGTGTTTGTCGAGCTTTGGCCATGTGGTCCAGAACCTTCTCAGAGACACGTGAGGTGTCATGGCGCGTGTCTTCTACTTTGCGGCTTGCTGCCGGCCAAAAAGCTCCACGAAAAAGGCGCAAGCATTATGCCGAGCAAAACATCACAAACGATGGGCCTGGACAGCTTGTCAAAACTGGGAGTCAGAAGGACTGCGCCAGAACTAGGGAACCCAACAAAGGCCTGGTCTCGCAGCGTGCCCCTCGCAAAGCCATGCCCCAAGAGGGGCCCGCTTGACACATGGCCAGAAATGCGGCTTCCCAACACGCACAGAGAGAGGGAGGGAACGCAACACATCGAGCAGAGCCTCAAGCAGCATCGCCACCTGCCGAGGCCAGGGACGGCCCCAAATCACAACATCTTTTGAATAGCCCTGTGTCGGCGTGTGCCGAAGGTGAAAACACCCCCGGCCGCCGCTTGAAAGATATCCCTGATCACAAACAGGGACCAAGCCTCAAAAGCAAGCCATCCATCCGACCCAGGGATGCACACGCTAACCATCCAATTCAATGGATTCCTGGATCCAAGAAAACTGGGTCGAATGTGGCGCCTAGGCAATGCATCAAGGGTACCGTGAAACCTTTTCTGTCATCGTCTCCGCTTAAAAAGCAGGCCTCTGGAGACGGACTCGGCAAGCAATTGGGCTTTGAGCCAAAAACGCCCCGAATCCGATTCCCACTTTGCCTGTCAGACAAAATGTACCCAGCGATATCATGCCATGCATGAACTCGCTGTCAAAGCCCATGGACACCTGCGATTGGAATATCGTCTCTGGTCAGCTGGCCAAGAGGCTCAATCAGGAACCCTTCCAAACAGTTGGTCTTCGCGCTTGCGTTTGAAAATGTGGCTTGCTTGCGGTCCTTTGCGCAAGCCATCTTAAAAAGATTGCCTTGCTGTTGTTCTCACCTCACAGAGGCTTTCTTACAACCCTGAGACTGCAAAGCTTCCTATGGGCGTCCAGTGGTGCCCATTGACCCCAGTTCTGAGCTCCAAAGGCACTGGCAGTTGGAGCGCCCCGCGCATGTGCGTGACGCCTCAGAACAAACCACCGCAATGCAAACCAGAGTGAACGCCTGGATATAGGATCTGATGGGACCACATTGCACTGAATTCGAATGGTGTTAGCTGCCACAGTTCCAGATTGGCTTAGATTGGCTTGAAGAGGCTTGACACAGTTGGGTTGCGAGTCTATCGGACAGGGACGAGAACGAGGAATCCAAATCCTTTTGGGGTTTGATAGCTGGTCTTGGTCCAAAGATCCAGGGACGTGTGTGTATGTGTCATAGGGTATTTGATCTCAGAAATCCGTAGCAAAAATACAACTGCGATTGAGGCGGGGCAAATTTTGGCATGACAAAATGAACAGGCGGAAACCGATATGTGTATGGAAAGGGCAACAAGAACTCGGATCTCTGCACGAAAGCGTTTCACACACTTTTGCGGTGTTCTTTCTCTAGTCAGCCTGAAGATGGCTCTGCCACTGGGTTCTTGGAGCATGTCGGGCCTCTTCGATTTGCTCCAAGCGTGAGTGCAAGCAACTGGTGCAGATTTCAGGGTTGGGTGGGCAGGAAGTCGTGGGGTGCAAAGAACTATTGTTGCTTCAAGCAGAGATACGTCAATCAGCCTCGTTGAATTGACAAGCGTATGAGGCTCACTTCTTTGCCTCCAGCGGACGATTTACAAGGCTCATCTCCAGCAACGATCACCCCGAATAACAGTTCCATGCTGTAAGCCCTGGCGAAGACTCGGACGGTTATTTCAAAGGAATCTCCTGGCAAGCCAAGCGCGAATGCACTCGATCCATATTCAAGAAATATAATTTGTTCAGGGTATCCTGAACGAGCATCATATTCTTAGAATGCTTGCTAGGTTCTTTCCAGGTAATTTCACTCTGCCTATCTGAGCGTGTCCGCCTGCCACGCATTGCGCCAGCAAGGCCCACCGCACTCCTGGCTCGCACGCTTCAAACAGGATCCAAATCCAGCTGCACAAACTCCATGGGCATGGCTCGACCAGGTCATGACACCAAACCAATCGTCTCTCGCCAGGCTGTGCAACCTTTGCAAACGCGGAACCCACGTCCTGCCCGCATCTTCATTGTCATGGCCTCACGCACATGCAACCGACACAGCAGCATGCACATGCAGCGTATTTGCCCAATCCCCATCGACTCAGGACATGTATGAGAGTGTTGTGAGATTTTACAAGCCTGTACAAGGTCAAAGTTTGCTGGTACGGACTCAGCTGCCGCTTTCTGAATACGAACAGCGAGGGCAGTCAAACAAAGAATTCAGGTATCGTCAATTCAGAAGTCCCAGCCACGTGACCGTGCTGCGCTAACAAAACTAAAGCCCCGTCGTCTCCCCCCACCTGCCCGCGCAGAGATGCATCTCCACGCTAGGCGCTGGAGCCATGGAAACGTCGTGGCAGACAAGCAGCAGGGTTCGCCAATGTGTAAAGGCCACTGCACCAGCCGGGCTGACCATGTTTGACTTTCCCATGGAACAGAAAGGACTGCACTGCGACTGGTCATGCATGCGCACGTTTCATGTGCGTCTCGGCCAGGGAGATCGCCAAGGGTCTCCGAAGATACCCGATTGAAGGGAAACCAATCCAGAAGCTGCCTTGTAACGGATAACCCTGGAAGAATAGGTACTGACTTGTAGAGCCTGGACCAGCCTCACCACCTTTCACCAACTATCAAGCTAATAGCGCTCCTGATGTCCCTTTCCGTGAAACTCTCACCGAAAATTGAAGCAACATATAAACGGCCTAGGCAGGTAGCGTCTGGTCTGCTTGCGGTCGACGTCCATTTGCAACTTTGGCCAGAACATTGAACTTGTGCCGAGCTATCACACGACACCTTATTTTTCTCTCAAGCCAGAACCTGCCGCACGTTCAGCGGCAAGATTTGCTAGCCGGTGCTAATCCTCTACTAGTAGCCTAAATCAAGGGGAGAGAGTCAGGTCAAACGCCAATTACATTCTTGAGACATCCCTAAAGGCCTAATTAGAGGACTCCCATTTTTGATCGGACCGGTTTCTCCCCTTGGTCAAAACAATTATCAGCATCCCCCTGAACAATCCGTTTCAAAGCTGGAATCATCACTAGGTTCGGGATGCAGTGCCAAGTTGATGTGATTCATCGGCCTCTTTGGCGGGGGCCGCAGCCGCACCGCGCTCCTTTGGCGACTGAACTCGCCCAACACGTGGTGGTTGAAATATTTGATATTGTTCACGTCGGAGGGCTGCTCCTGGGCAATTGTTTGCATTGCACCGAATCAAATTGGAGGATTGAGTCGACGACTTCCTGCGGCTTGAAACCTACCAGCAAGCGCATCCTCCCAGATTTGCGCAGCGGACTTTTTGCTGGGCAGGAATCTTTAGAACGGGCAAGCCAATATCGTCTCCATTTGGATGAATTTCATCAATTGCCCTGGTGACTATTGTCAACTGGGCTCACTCCTAATTTCGTGGCGGAAAGGAACATGAAAAGTATTCCTTGGTACAGCTCGCCCTTATCAAGACGTTGATGGGCCGCAGTTTGGTCACCTCTGGCAAAGCCAGGCCATGTAGATCAAATAAAAATCAAAAAAGCAAGGCTCAAAGCTCCTACAAGATTACTTCCCTTATCCAGAGTGGCCCGAAAATGCTTTTGTTCACACTCAATGCCCTTCGATGGACGCATCTCCTTTCCAGGAAACCCTGGATGAACTTCAACCAAACCTGAAATTTCGACGTCCACCCCAAAACCTCCAAATGTTTGTCCAGCGATTGCGCAGGCTCACGCAAAGTGCTGGGACGAGTTTGGTGACTTTCGAGGGCGCGCTCTCGCTGTGGCGCCGCGCGAATTCCGAGAACGGTTGATTGGCTGCGGACTTTGGATGGGTCGCTCCCGCTGTCGGTGTGCGAATTTTCAACATCGAAAGTTAAAGAACCCTCTGCAGACTTTGGTCGCAACGGCACGATGCGAAATTTGAACATCGCAAGTGAACCCTCTGCGGACTCTGGGTGGGTTGGATCGCTCTCGCAGTGGCGGGATGCGAATTTGGAACATCGCAAGTTCAATAGGTTTCTTGGACACGGGAGGGCTACCTATACCCTAAAAGGGAAACCTTGTTTCTCTGGTTCCCTTCTTGAATCAGAAGAGAGGCGCAAGTGTTTTTGCCGGACATGCAAGAGCTGTAGATCCTGTGAAACATGTTCAACAGCTACTAAATGTCAACGAAGACGTCGCTCCGGACCGGTGCCAAGCATCGACTCCAAGTCGAAACCAAGAAGGAGCCCCTAACTGGGCCAAAACCAGATCGACTCCAAAGGTCGAACTGAGAGAAACGTCAAAGACGGACAATGCAAAAAGAATCCTTTTTAAGGACATGGTGCGGGCTAAGCCAGGGCTTACGAAGGCAAACATGCAACCAAGGAGCTGTTTCAGCTTCTAGGGAAGTGGCGGGTGGGCAAAAAATAAAATACCAGCACATGATGCTCAGCATGCATGTTGTCTTGTACCCTCCTGTGTCTTGGAGCCAAAATGTCACGTGCAAGAAGCACATCAAACACAACTGAGTGAAACACAGTTGCCGTTCAATAGGTTTCTTGGACACAGGAGGGCTACCTACACCTTAAAAGGGAAACCTTGCTTCTCTTGTTCTCTTTTTTGAATCAGAAGAGAGGCGCAGGTGTTTTGCCGGAAATGCAAGAGCTGTAGATCCTGTGCAACATGTTCAACAGCTCAAGCACAGAAACCCCCCACAAAGCCTGGCAAAAACATCCTCGCCTCCCCAACCCCCAAAAGATGGAGGGTTGCGGGAAAGAATCCCAAAGCTCCGACAAGGTGAAACGCACACGTTCCGTTTCGGGAAAAACGGAGGGCGGCTGAGTTCATCAGCCACATCATTACGATAACCTGGGATATGTGAGACAGATAGGTGGATCCCGGAAAGACTGGATCAAAGGAGCCAGTGGTTCCAAAAATGACACATAGGGAACTTACTTAGTTGAAAACAACTTGTTGGCCCCTGACTCCGCCCGCACATTATCTGAGACAGAAGAAAAGTTGCATCGCAACCGTCCACCTGGCGCAATACGAAACAGACCAAAGACCTAAGCAATCTGCGCCAGTACTTCAAAGCCGGCAATGCTCTTCTGAGCGTCCGGTTTGAGATCCAGTCCCAAGTTTGAAGGGTCCAATGGGTGTATCAAAGGGGGTCAAGTGGCACAACTTGTAACCCGAAAGCAACTGACCGTAGTGAGGTATCCGCCGACCTCAACCGCGCGAGAAGCACCGAAACTCACCAAGGAGATCACTCTAAGCACTTCCGACATGGGTGCGCACACCCAAGGCCCAACAGCACCAAGATAGGACGGGACCAACCACGATGGTCCGCCTGACATTCCAAATAGACTCCAAATTCAGTGAGAGGGGAGAGGGAGGGTTCAATGGGTACACGAGCCCTTTGCTGCGGACCAAGCTCAGTTGGCAAAACACGCCAGTAGAGAAGTCTCTGACCAGTTGCAGGAGACTGATTGGAGCGTTAAGATCCTGGCAGACGGGGATCAACGCCCGCCTCTTGCAGCTGAGATGGATTCCCGAAAGAGTTCGGCGGCGTCCACGGCAGCTTCGCCTCACCCGTCGGCTTGCTCCGGCGGAGATGACCCGTGGATGCAATACAGGGCGAACGCCCACACAGCCTCACACGACTCCTCTAAGGGAACGGGACACGGGAAGCTTCCGGGTTTCACCAAACCATCGTCATGGGTCGTGGGCCAGGGACACACCAAGAGATGTCATTCATGCAGACATTCAAGCGATTGTGGAGGGGTTTCCACCAGATGTCAAGCCGTATGTTTCGCGTTTTCATTGCCCGTCGGTCGGCCTCTGAAGGGAATCCCAACTCCGACACACCAAGCTGGTAAATCGTGAAGCGGTATGAAGCAAACCAAGGATGCGAGGAGGACTCCACTACCTAACACACACAACAAATCCAACCTTCATCGCGTGCCACAGAGCTAGCTAATCTCTTCAGCCGCCTTTGAAGAAATAGCCGGCCGCCCTTGCAGAGCTCCTTTGCCCGCAGCGCAAGGCACAGGCGCCACTTGTCATGGCTCTCGCCGTGCAAGGCAACAGGCCCCCCTGGCTACAACGTCAATGCTGCACCCTAACAAACCTATCAAGCGTTACGCATACTCTGCGCTTATATGCTTTGGGCGCCTATGACTTGACCGCGGCAAAAAATAGAAGAACAGCACATGATGCTCAGCATGCGTGTTGTCTTGTACCCTCCTGTGTCTTGGAGCCAATATGGCTACGGGCAAGAAACACATCAAACACAATTGAGTGAACCGTGAACAGTCGCAAGTGAACCCTCTGCGGGCCCTGATTGGGTCGGATCGTTCTCGTTGTGGCGCGGCGCACGTTTGAGCATCGACAGCGAACCCTCTTTGAACTTTGCGCGACTCTGGCTGCGGCGCGGTGCACATTTCGACATCGAAAGTTATCCCTCCAGGCAGCCCTCCACAAACTTCGGGCGGGTCGGATCGCGCTCACGGTTGCGAGGCGCGAACTTTGAACATCGAAAGTGAGCCCTCTGCGGGCGTTAGGTGGAGAAATTCTTGCAAGAGATCTTGAGAGCCTGCCAGGGAACTTCAAAATCCATGATCCTCGCATGGATCCTGCAAACACATCTTGCCACGAGACCCTACAAAGACAGCCTGAAAAAACCTGTAAGGATCCTCCGATAGGTACTTTTTCTGACCAGATCCTCTCAAGAGGTCGCGCGCAGACCCTATCAAGGATACTGTACGCAAATCGTGCCAAGAGATCCTACCAAGAGATCCGTCCAGAGATCACGACGGCAGACCTTGCCAAAAGAGACATTGGCACTCACACAGCTCCTCTGAGAGTCCTACCAAGATCCTACCCGTACGTCTTGCGCAGAGACCCTGCAAAGATCCTCTTGCAAGTGTGGTCGCGTGGGACCTGCAAAGATTTCCTTGCGAGAGGTCGTGTAAGGCTGCCCCTACAGATATTGAACAGAGATCCTGCAAAGATCCTCCACGGATACTTTGCGCTGGTCTCAACAAATTTTGCGCAGGGCCTGCCGAGGTTTCACGTAGAGGATGCTCGCTACAGATCCGGAAGAGAGAGCTCGTAGTTTTCTTGGAGATTCTGCACACAGATCTTGCCAAGAGATCCTATCAAAAGCCTATCCACAGATTCTTCAACTGAGACCTTGTCCGGGAATTTACGAACACTGGTTTAACTTTCTTCAGAAAAATGTTCCGGAAGCTCTTCCACAGGAGATCTTCTCTAGGAGCTTCTGAAGGCTTCTGTTTGAAGAGCACGTGCAAGACCTTCTATGGAGACTCTGTGTGCATCTGCTGCGACTACTTTCTGTTACTTTCATGGGTTCCTATCTCACTTCTTGACCGCTGCTTGGGTTGGCTTGCCGGGATATCTTTTGAAGGACCCCGCACGGCGGTCTCTTTTCAACTGGAAAAGTAGACAAATCACGGCGCTGGGATTAGATTGGCTCTGCCGCATGCCACCTCTTTGTGCACCTGCAAGATGACTGTGATTTAAAAATAAAATTTATTAAAAAAAAAAAAAAAAAAAAAAAAAAAAAAAAAAAAAAAAAAAAAAAAAAAAAGTCCCAAAGCACCTGCATGGGTCGCTCGTTTTACCCCCGAGTGAGGTCACAAACAAGTTCTCCAGATCTCTCTCTCTCTCTCTCGCAGCAGTTTAGGGCCGGCAAAGCTTGGGGCTTAGTTTCGGGCTTCTAAGGTTTGAGGCCTCTGGCTTGGGGCTCTCGTTCGAGGCACTGGGATGAAGAAGGACACCGTGGCTTGCAGCAGCAGCAGCGCATGCTCCGCCACCAGGAAAATAAAGAGCTGCTGCCCAAAGGTGAAGTTCCGCATGGGCTCGAAAAACCTCCGACCCGCACGGCCCGTTCAGGGCATCGAACAAATCTTAAGATAAATTGTGCGACCCCGGCAAAATGTGACGCTTTAATGGACCCGGTAAATGTCCCCCTTTCACTCATCCCACCCAAAGAACAATCGATGAAGATCGGCCCAAAAGGTCCGGCTCCAGTCATTACATCCCAAAAACAGGCTCAAAGAGCGCGGCTGGGTCAACCTGCTGAAAGCGCTGATGGCACAGCCGTGATTTGAACCTGACAAAAATGGATGTCAACAAAAGCCGGGTGCTTGCAGCATTCCCCAAAGAGACCTCCTGCGTCCATGTTTTGCGCTCGCATTTCGTGAGCCAACCCCAGTCCAAGGTGCATGGCGCCCAGCCCGACGTTGCAGGACACGGCACAGGTGTTGATGGTCGCGAAGATTGGTAGCCAAATGCCCAGGCCAGCGCTGGCATGAGGCACCGGCCTTCGGGTCACGTAGAGCATCCTGGCGGGCAAAAAAGGCGCGAAGCGTGGGAAGATCGGGAGCCAAGAAGCCTCGGAGGATAAAGTTTAGCCTCAAAGCCAGCCGAACTCGTTGAATTTGAGCAGCAATCAAACGAGGCGATGAAATCCCTCCCCTCCTGTAGACCCGCAGGTGGAGGGACACATACATCGCAATCAGCGCGAGGGCCGCAATGGTGGGACAAAGGCAGCCCCAGCAGGCGACAATAGAGTACGAGATGGCCATATCCAGCCTCACTTGCCCGGAAACGGCTCAAGATTCACGCTGTGAACCACTCCCATGGGAAACTTCAAGCCTTCAAGCCAAATCAGTTCTTTCGAGAGGGGCCAGTCGTTCACGCGATCGCCGCCCCAGGAGTTGAAGCAGTACTTGAACTTTTTCGCCTCCAGCTGCAGGACCGAGTAGGCCGGCAGATCCTCGTCCCCAAGGTTGTTGCGCACCCGGCTGTACTCCTATCCGCATCGCTGGGTAAAAAAAAAACAATGAATAGAAGGGGTCACGCCAAAAACGCGCGGAAGCTGTACATCGTTGTCAAGGGAGTGCATCATTAGAGATATAGACTTACTGCAGTGCCTGGCCAGGAATGACGAATGTGAGGCAATCACTTTGCGCAAAACGGCGACACTCTCAGCTCCTTGTGAATTTCCCAGTGCGCAATCACAATTGGCAACACTAGGAAAAATAGTTCAATGCCCAAAAGGAACATAAAGTACGTGAGCAGGTTGGCAACCACGTCATAGTCACCTTGGCAAGGCTGATTCTGTATTTTGTTTGTTTGCGTTCAGCGCAAACAGCTCGGGGCGTTGGGTTTTGGAGCGTCTTATTCACACTCCGCAGATTCTGAATGCTCATCCCCCGGGCCCAATACGGTGCACGTGGCCGTGAACAAAATCGAGGTGTACTCGGCGAAACCACCATGCACGACAAATGCTACGTGGCCTGTGACGGCTCCCTCCTGTCGGGCAGCTAGCAGTGGACATCTGCCCGACTGAGCCCGGGACAATTTGTCCGCGAGTACTTGTGGGCATGCTGCCAATGGACTGGAAAGCAGCCTTTCACGCAGATTGATTCCTTTGAACGTGCTCGATATAGTGGTGGCTTCTGGAAGGTGTACATCAACAGGGCCTTGGCAAAATGCAAAGTCAGAACCTTGTATCTAGCTTTTTGCAGCCATCAGGGTATCCTTTTCTTCTAAAAGGTGAACTTCAAGACCAAAAGAGGACATGAGTCTATCTCTTTTTGAGGGCTTTGCTGGGTGGTTTGAAGGGCCCAATTTTGAGACACCCCGAAATAAAGTTCTATGACTCTTGCCAACCACAAGCCAGGCTGCATCTTTTACGCCAGGATCCAGCAGACTCTCATTGAAGCCAGGCCAAACCCTCCCGGCCACCTGACAGGGTCACCGTTCTTCGGATTTGTGGTTTGATTGGTGGTTTGGAGCTTAGGGGCTGGTTTCCCATGTTTCCTCTAGAAGAAACCCAATCCAAACCAATCCAATCCAAACCACCAACTGATCTCCTGAAGAAAAACCCAACACGTTCTCATCAAAATGCCACTGGGAGGCTGACCTTTCCACCCCGAAAAACGGCAGCACAATGCCCGCCTCATCAAAGGTGTCCCCACACTTGATCTCTGCAATGTTGGTCAAAAAGCAGGAATAGAAAAAAGGGAAGTTCGCCAGGAACAGCTTCACACCAGCCAGAAGCAGCGCAAGCTTGTCCTGAAGCATAAGTCTATACTGGGCAGCGAGATTGAATGCACAAACAACAACCCCATTGCCACCAAATCCCATCCTTCACCACAGGAGCATTACTATGCAGTGACAAAAGCTGCTTCCAGTAGAATTTCAGCGGAAGAAAGCTGCTTCACAGCTAAGGCGCGTCAGAGCCCTTGATGGTCCGGTGGTTCTCCAACTGAACGACCATCGGAGCCAGGTGCGTCCAAAGGAAATTCCCAGCCTTGATCACGATGCTGATGATGATCGACGAACTTTGATAGAAAAACTTTGACTCAGGCTGATTGAATTGCCACGCCAGCACTGCAGAAATCAACGAAACGTAAATCATCACAAAGATGATGGTGATCAAACTGGAGAGCACTTTCCCGCACTCCTGAGATCTGCAGGAGGGTCTGTGTTTGGTTCCCCGCGGCAAAAGGAAAGAATACCGGACCTCTGCCAAACCTGTACTTGAACTGACACAACTTATGCATGCGGAGAATCATTGTGGCGAGACGTCTAATGCAGTCCGGGCAAAACTGGAGCAAAGAAACTTGAAGCCAGCTCATACCACAGAAAGCAAGAGAGGGAGAACAACGCGAAACAAAGCAAACAAATGCAAAGCATGTCACTACACGGACAAAAGCGCTGGAAGCAAGCAACAAAAATGCAGGACAGCAAGCAAACGAATAAACAAGACAAACCGTAGATCCAAGACCAAGGAAAACCAAGAACAACAGAGATAAGAATGCCGAAAAGCAAAATGCCCCTGTAGAACATGGTCTGGCACATGATGCTGGTTGTATTAGCTTGGTTGTTTAGGTTTTGCCAGAGATAGCCTGATTTCACATTGCATGTTTCTGCACGTGCTCCCAAACGGAATCCGAGTGGTATGGCTCTCTGCACAATGTGGACAGATACACCCACTCTACCCACTCTTACACTTGGCTACTGGGACTTTTTAATGGTTGGAACACCCTCCAAATTGGTTGGTGAGCATCAGTGCCGTGAATGAATTCCACCAAAGTGTCCAACCAATTCAGATCTATACTCGCACAACAAAGGAAAGATCGCATGCAACAGGAGCGGAAGAGGGCCCAAAAAAGAAGATGCTGGGAAGGAAAAAAAGGGAGAAGCGGTTTAGGTTCCCTAGCACAGGCGCACAAGCTGCAAAAACTGGTCGCAAACGAGCTACGTCCAGAGAAAGCGCAGGGAGTATGCTGAAAAGTCGAATGAGCTCCAAAGCAAATGTTGCCCATATGTCTGGCCCAGCCAGCCCAGACGTGCATCGCATTGCGCTGCGTAAGGTGATGCAAGCATGCCCATCTTCTTAAGAATTTCCTGCCTCCTTTTCGTAACCATTTCAAATCGCGTGAAGAAATCCCACTTTCCGCTGGCTCAAAAAGGGCAAGTCCGTAAACTCCCATGTCTTGGAGGTTTACTTGCCTGTTCATTTGGCCGACTCCTTCTCGCTTGCTTGTCGCCAAGGCGCGCCCGTGTGGTTGGGGTCATAGTCGGGGTTCGGGGTCTCGCGGGCTTCCCTCTCCTCCACGCCCCAGAGCTGCTTCACCCGCGCGGTCTTGCGCTCGAAGGTGTGGAGAAACGTCGCGGCCCAGATAGACAGGGGCACGCAACAAAAGCTCCTGCTTTTGGTTGGCAGGTCGTTTGAGTCGACCCCAAAAAAAGAACAACCTTGGCAAGGACAAACGCTGTCAAAAGATGACTGGCCGAAGCACTGAAACTGCTAGAATTGAACCAATATTCATGCCGATCCTTTTCTGATGCTAGCCCTTGGCAGTCCTGGCATGATCATATATTGGCTCCTCCACCAACATGTGAAAAGCGACAAAAACCAGGCCAGCAACGCCTGGCACCAGGAGCCCGGCGATGAAGTGATAAACAAACCGCCCGTAGAAGGCGATCTCCTCGGGCCACAATCTATGGAAACTACTTGCAGCGGGGGGCACCTCTGAGCGGGTTACCGCGGGTATCCAACGACCTTGTCAGCTCAGCACAAAAAGACTCTGTTGCATTTAAACCGACATTCGCAATGCTTGCAGTTGGTCCTAAGCGTTGGAGTCGTTCCTCTTACACAAACCCACTGGATTGCAAAAGTTCACCTTTCAGTGTTCAACACTTGCCTGTGACAACATCATGGCATCGGCAAAGCAGATTGAATATTCAGACACAGACGGCTCTCTGACTGCAGGGGAGGGACTCTTCTCAACGCAAACAATGCTGATTGGCTCTGCTGTGCACGCTCGAGGAATTCCCATGTATGTATCTATGTATCTACGTATCTATGTATGTGTGTGTAGTGTGCGTGTGCGTGCATGTTTATGTGTACTTGCATGTCTATGTGTATTCGTGTGTGTGTGTGTGTGTTTGTCTGCATGATTGTCCGTTTGTGTCTCTCCTAATATCTCTGTCTGTCTGTCTCGTCTGTCTGCCCGTATCTATAAGTAGGTAGGTGGGTGGATGTGTGGGCGGGCGGGCGGGTGGTTGTGTGCGTGCGTGTGAGTGGCTAGGTTGGTACGTACGTATGTATGCGTTTGCTGTCACGGATCGCCGGGTCGCGTTTCCCTTTCAGCCCAAGGTTGGGCCGTTCCGGTTTTGCCCAACTTGAAGCCCCGTCCTCACCGAAATAGTGACGCAGGAGGATGCTTGAAGACTGGAAGGACAACTTCAGCCATTTGTTTGGGGCCAGGACCGCATTGTGGATCTGCGAGAGCTCCTCCACGTTGGGGCAGGGGAAGTGGCAGCTGATCACCCCCTGCCGTTCCATCTCCTGCAGGCTCACCCACTCCAGCAACCAATGGTGCAGCATCCGTATGCCATCCACCTCCCGGAGAAAGAGATCGCGCATTTCAAATAAAAACCAAAGCCAGCCCGTGAAGACTCATTATCTCGCCAATGAGTGGAGTGTTGCTTTGCACTCCAGCCTTACATTGCCTGACCGCTTACAAGGGGGCAACATCCCAAAGACTAGGAAATCCCACATCTTGCGCGTCGCTTTTGTCTCAAGCAGCATTTCTTCGCCTACCGCGACGAACGCAGCTAATGGATGGAGGCGCATCACTGTTTAAGTTGGCTGCAGGTTGCCACGGTCAAACAGAAACCAACGGTTCTAAACCCGACCCCCATCCGACCCATGTCGCGCGACCCAAGACCATGCTCCAAGTGGCTCCAAGTGCCTCAAGCCGACTCAGCCCGTGCCTGGCGGAAGTCCTGGAAGCTGCTCTTCTCTGCTGCGGTGAACTCGGAGAAGGCCACCACCCGCTCCGCGTCCGCGTTTTCCATGGGCTCCCCTGACAAACCCGAGCGCGTGTCGGACGCTTCGAGAGCATACTTCGCACAAACAAAATCTGAGCTAGCTCGCGAAATAGAGTCTTTGTGCGATCGCTCTGAGCAGTATCGCTGCGCAGTACTCTCTTGAGAAATACCCCTGCGCAATCTCCTGAGCAGAAATTCTGCGCAGACTCTCCGCGAATTCTATCTTGCCAATCTCTCTCGGCAATCTTTCTGAGGAAACTTTCAGGCTATCTCTTGTGTAATCTTTCTGCGCAAGCACTCTTTGCCAGCCAATCGAACAGTCTCTTTGCTCAATCTCCCCATCTCTGTGCAATCTCCTCGCACACGAACCGCAGCAAATGTGCACGCTAGTGCGCCTGACACGCACGATGCGGACAAAGCGCCGGGAAAACAAAACGCGGCATTTCCATAGGTCTGTTGCGCACCGACACATGCGAGCAATGCAGAGGGTGAACCGTGCGTGGCAACGAGAAGTACTGTCCACATGGCCTTCGCGCGTCAACGCGAACGATCCGCGCAAAGAGTCGCAGACTGTGTTCGATGCTGCGGCGCTGCCTTAGAAGACTGATTTGCTTGAAGTGGCACGCGTGCGTTTTACATGCAAGTCTTCGGCCGCAAGGCTGGAGGCTCTTCGGCTTTCCCACAAGAGGCGCCCTCCCAGAAGCAAACGTGGCAAGGCACTGAAGCAACGGGCACACCTCTGACGCCTATGTTTTGCCGTTTGCCTCCTGGAAACGGCTCGCGGGCTTCGATGGTTTCGTACACAGACTCCCTCAAAGGCATGCTATACTTCAACACCTCAGCCATGTACTCGATCACGGGCCCATCTAGCGGCAACCAGATCTTCAGAAAATCCTCGTCCCGGTCTATACTGGCAAACTGGCTGGAATGAAGACCAGAGTCAGAGAGGATCTCAACAAATCTGCTGCGGATGTCCTGCTGGAACATCTCCATTGAGATGGACTCATCGTCGCTCTCAATGTGCTCCAGCCGCTGGAGCGTCGCGTCACTACTTGGGCAGTGGGTACGGAAAATCTTCTGCGCTTTCGTGAATGGCATGTCCACCATGGTGCTGCCATCCACCTCACCTCCGTCGCGGCGACTGCGTGGAAATATGACCACCAAAGTGCAATTATCTGCATCCTGTAACAAAGGCGGAAAGCCTGGAACATAGGATGGCGCAATTTCGCTCAACAAGGTTGATCTGGAGGAGCAGACTTTCATGGCGGGCTCAGGTGCAAATGCACCCAGCGCAGCTAGCTGCATTCGACTGGCCACAACCAAAACTTGACTCAGTCAGGTGAACAATGTAGTGCTTGCAGGTATCTGTGCCACAGTGTTGAAATGTCAGCTACCAATGATGAGGTAGCCCCAAGCTTTCATATCACTCTGTGCCAACATAGTGGTTGCTTGGTTGACAAGGCATAAGAACAAGATCGCTTGTTTGACAAGGCATGCGGACAAGACTGCAAAGCACCGCCTTGTGCTCAAACTTTGCAGAGAACACATCCAAACCTGCAACATGTTACATTCCTACATGTCCGGTCAGCCTGGAAATCGCTTGTAAGACTGACAAAGATTTAAGATATTCAATCGCTGTACCGTTTGCGCCAGTTTTGGCAATCGCATCCACATTCACGTGGGAGCACCTCAGGTGCAGGTGGCAGGAAGTTCCCCTCTGTGTTCGTCACAGGAATTGGGGGCAATAGGCCAGTTCTCACGGACTGCTCTAAAGCATAGAGCACTGCAAGAACAAAGCAGAAAGAGGCATCTTCTGGTGTGCGTTCAAGCACGTTCAAAAACAGCAAAATGTGTGCAATCCAGTCTGCGTGGGGAATTCAGCATTGTGAGTGCCGCTTCCTGCCAGAACCCTTGACTCATGAAATGCATTTCTACTGTAGCATGTCTTTCCTTTTGCCCGCTTGCTCACTCGCCCACACAAAGCTGTGATGTGTTCTGTCCCAGCAACTTCTTCAACATACAGAAAACCGAGCACAAGATTGGACACACAGGGGCCAAGACCCGGGTAGAAAGCAAGATCATGTTGGACTTACAAAAAGATGCTCCTTGAGGATAGAATCTTTTGGGCCTGCACAAGTACCACTTGAAGGAAAACGCACGTGATGTAAGCAGCAGGTTTGCATCTTTATCGCTGTTCCATGGCGAAACATGTCACAAGAGACAATACAGACAACATTCGAATTCTTTATTTGCGTGTCAGTCCTCTTGAATGAAGCATCCGCACCCTTTCCCACAGCAGATCCTCGCTTTTGCTCCGGCTCGACTTGCTTGCGTGCAACCTTTGGCACGCACTTTTGCCAACTGGAAATGCCTCCGAATTTGTGAAATGCCAACCTGAGATGGGCCTTTTGGTGCAAACGGGACATGACATCAGGAGTCTCCTTGAAGGGTAGCCCAAGAGAAAATGCACCATGAAAACCAGTCCCAAATTCGGACACCAACTGAGGCTCTGTACAGGGGAGCCGACACCCTCTCCCTCAGCTTACTTTTTGCCCTTGCCCTTGCCTGGCGAAAGCGTGGACTGCAGCTCAGCTGGAGGTTGGCGTGCACTGGACTGGACTTAGCATTTGGTACAAACATGAAAAGAGACGGCAATGCTGGAAGAAAAGAGACGCACGTGAATACTTGAGATGCCGCCCTTCGGCAGTTGTTGCGGCACTCTAGGTCCCTCAACCTTCGCTGAGCCGTGCTTGCCGACAAGCAACTTGGCTGCCCTTGGAAAGCAACCCGCAAAAGTGTGCCATGGAAGAAAGCCTTGCAAATCCACATCTGGTTCCAGCGGCATCACAATTTCTGTAGGGGGGTCTGGACTTGCTCCCCAAATCTGTCTCTAACCCCCAAATGCTTCATTGCCTCCTGAATCTTTTCGCCCCAAAAGGTGAAGGTCATTGCTTCGTGTCGTCGCTTCCGTTGGCCTCTCTCATTGGCCGTTTCATCAAGACCAATTGGTTCACCCGTTGCCGCCAGCAAAGCCTTGAATGTGTGTCGCAACCAACTCGACCCCAACACCGCGCCTGCGCCTGCAAAGCGCTGCGGCCTTTGTCAACAGCTGAAGGCTTGTCAAAGCAACTTCGGCCAGCTGAGGGTTGAAACATGTACAGGCGTCATTGTCCGCCGTCTGCAAAGCACGGGGCGGGAACACAAAGGGTCGCCATGTTGTCAACCTCCTGTGTGGGCAAAAAGGACAAGGCTGGACTCTAAGGCAGTGTCCATTGGCTCAATCCTTTGCCCCCGACAAGAGCCCTGACCCGCGATCCCTCCAGCCACCCCACGAGGCGCCGATCCTTGTGCCTGGCCCTCTGGCAACTTAAAACCAGCTCACCACATTGCAGTCTCTCAAATCCCCATCCGGCTTCCCAGGGAATACCTTCCACCAGTACCTACAAATTTGACGCTCCCTCTCCCCTTGCCGGTTGCAAGACGCGGCCGGGCCAAGCCCCCCGGCCCAAAGGTCACGGGCAGCTCCGAAAAGACGTCGCCTAACGGGTCCGGCCCAAATCTTCCAACGAAAACTATCCGTCGGATGTGACGATCACAAAGCTTCGGTGTACGGATTTTCGTTGTTTTTTTGTTTTTTGTTTTCATGAGATGTCGCGGGTGGGACGTGGACACAGTGCAGGTGTTCCCACTGGCGGCCAAACAAAGAGGCAAGTCAGACCTGCTCCAGTAACACCAAAACAAAGCTTCGAAAAAAAAGTCGGCCGCGCAAACCGCTGGTCTAAATGGAACATAATCCTGGACGGCAACATGGTGTTGACCCAGGATAAAGGATCAACGCCCGGTTGATTTGTCGGCAGTGTTCCGTTTAGAGGGGCAAGTCTCATAGAGTTCTCTGAGAGATCTGCAGCAAGAGATCTGCACGACTTGATTTACTAAGGTTTGTCTCCTTGTCAAGGGACCCTCAGATCCAAGGTACCGCACCCAAAAACATCACAAACCCAAGGGAATCCCCCAAGCCCAGGTACTTGTCGCAGGGCTAGGTGAATCTGGACGTCTTGTTGGGCCGAACCCCTTTTTTGGTTTGAAAGGGACCCCGGGTTTGTGACACGCCACACGGACGTTCAAGGTCCGAACTCGGGAATTCCCATGGAAAACTCCTCCCAAAGTCGCTCCCTTAGCCGGGCAGCCGAAGCGGCTGAAGCCTGGCGCACCGCTCAGTACGTGCCAAGGGACAAAGAAAAGCAGGAAAAAGCTGCCTTGGCAAAAGCGAAACCATGCAAACCGCACTGGTTACGTGGCGGAATCTCAAGACTTGGTCGGAGAAACCGAGGGGAAGACAAAAACCTCGTCACACCATTCGGAGTGGATCCAGAACCATCTGCAGCCGAGCTTAGCAACGTCTCAAATCAAGACCATCGTGCAACCTCGGATGATCCGTGGCAACTCAGGACCCTGGAGTTGTCAGGCTTTGCTTTCATTTTGCTCGAACAACGCCGCTCGTTTTCTTCTCATGGGTCGCACAGGCGCCACACTAGCTACTCCAACGGGCAGGAATGACCGGGGTGCTTCTTTGCGGAATATGGCCACAGTTTCACTGCTCCATGGGTCTGCCATGCTCTTTGCTGAACAAAGGAAACCTGCCGAAACAAAAACCGCAAGCTCAGGAATGGACCCGATGAGCCGAGTCTTCAAGGTACTGATGTCCTCCAAACGCCAACCATTTGTGGCAAATGAACAGCGACGGTGTGTTGATGCATTTAGAACTGCAACGCACATCGAGCTGTTTGAGCCTGAGGTTCAAGGAGGGTGATGCTTCTGCTTGGCGCCAAGAGAGCATCCCGGAAGCAAGCGTTGGCTCAACGCCGAAGCTGTACACGGCAATCGCACCCGGGGATGGAATTAACATCTCCAGCATTAAAAACTGGACTGCCTGGGGCAACTCGCGACTTGGACGGCAGCCAGCAACTTGGGCCGCTTCTCAAACAAGAAGCCGCTTTTGTCCGGTGCAGACAACAAATTTGGGCACTTGACATACGGAGTGGCGGACTCAAGCCATGTTTGATTGGAACCGAAGATTGGCACGCATATGGACGGACTGTTCATTCGCACGAACTATCCGCACATCTCCCATGCCCTCCAAGTCCCTCCAAGTCCGGGCTGCCCCTGCGACTTATGCGCGATTTAAAGCTCAGCTTCCAAGCCTCTGGGCCCTTCCGCTCGGAAGGCCCGCTCGATCCATTGCCCCAGGCTTGGGCCTTGGCTCACGAGGTCTCTGCACCTTCCTGCTCAGAGCTGCTCACATCCGTCGACTCCTGGCCAAACGTTGCATCTGGCCATCTGATTTTGCTTGAGAAGGCAAAAGTTACTCGACCAAGGCCTAAAAGCTTCTTGAGAAACATTGACACTCTTCACTTCCTTGCATATTCAGAAGCTGCGCTGGGCATTCATACACACTGTATGGCTTCAGCATTCTGTGCCTTGTCCCTCCCATGGAGAAGAAAGGAGCGAACGATCTCTCAAATTCCTTTGGAATACAAACCCTGCGAGTCGTCGGAGGAATGCGATGCGGATGCACCAAGGGCCCCTCAAGGCTACTGACCATGTGTCTCTCAATAATCAGTCACTTCATGCACCTGGCCCATATCCCCATTGTTTCATCCCAATCCTGCGCAGTCCCGCTCCCGCACCCTTCCCGTGTGTCAGCTGCCCCATCCCGATCCTGTGCCACGTAACCCGTATCCCAGCTTCCACATTGACTTAAACTCAATTCCAACGATCTAGGACTAGCTGGCTATCTGACGAAGCAACCAAGCAATTTGCCAGGACTCTCCTTGAGTCAGATAATCTTGAATCCTTGAAAGAGGTTAGAGGTTCGCCGGGGTACAACCTGATGGAAAAACATGTCTTAGGATGCGTAGCAATAATTGCCAAGCTGTCTGTTTTCATTCGCTCTTGTTTTTAGTTCTGTGCCCGCCGCGCAGGCTGGCATGCCCAATGATTTCCCTCGGTCCAAAAAATCTAGAAGACCAAGCAAATCAAAAGAAGAGCCGCAACTTCCTGTACAGCCGCAGGAGCTCTTTGCAGTCGACTGCTTTCAAACCAAGCTTATCCTTCGAGCGAATTATTGCACCCCGTGTTGAAAATATAGATGTCTAGCAAAGGTCGAGACTTCTCGACACTGCTCCTTCTCAACGGACAAATGAAGAGGAAAAACGTTGTCAAAGCTTTGAAACACAAAGGACCTCCAAGCAAAAAGGAAATCGTAGTGCGAAGGTGCCATAGATGGGGCTATGCACAAGGTGCCTGCTTGACGTGGACGAGCTGCCTGTTTGTGTTGGTCCACCTGTGACAACCCCCGCACGTTGAATAAGCTCAGCGGAACAAACCTTGCCTGAGAGCTACGTTGGTCAACTGCTATCTCTTTTAGTCTTGGCAAACGACCCAAGAGAAAGCTCCGCCGTTGCTTACGTCATAGTGCTCTGCTGCAACAAAGACCCCCAGCCGTGTCCGTAGACAGTGCCCTCTCGCCTGGTCCTCCTCCAGGTGCCCGCAGAAAGTGAGGCTGGGAACCTCAGGCAGCGATGCAGCCGGAGGCAAATTGAGGAACGTGGAGACCAAGGCCATGCCTCAAAACAATCAGACGAACAAACAAGAATCTATTGACATGCTGAGTTGTGTAGCTGGTGAACTCGAACCATGTGACAAAAGATGCCTTGGCGAAGCCTGCGCTTTTCATCATGGGACTGTTGCCTGTTGCTCTTCCTTCTTGAATCTTTCTCTTCGGCCTAAAAGGCTAGCAAGATCCTTGGCACACAAAACCCTTGGATTTCACCTCCAAGCCAAGCCCCACCTGCCCAGAGCCTGGTTGGCTTGTCTCTCACCACCAACAATGTGGTAGCACAATGACAAAGCCAGTCCAGACCCTCCAATGTGTAGCGTACTATCCACGTTGGATTGGAAATTGCGCACAAACAAAAGCATGTTGGTACTAACATACGGTGTTCAAAGCACGCCCCCCCCCCCCTTCGCACTGGACTCCAAACTCACAGTTGCAGACAAAAAAGGCAAAAAAAAGAAAGGAGAGGACCAAGGCAAAGCGGCCAAGCCAACCTCCGGTCCTTGAAGCTTTGCGCACCCAGTAAATGATGAAAGCCAAGTGCGGTAAAGGTAAATGCTTATCAGTCCTTTTCAAAATCCAAAAAGCTGCCTTTCTTGCAAAACTGATCCAAATCATTCCACAGGGAGGGGAGTGCTTGAAGGTCGGACTTCATTCACCAGGCCTACTTGGCAATACTAAATCAATTGACCTGTGCAAGGGACCTCTGTTCTGGGACCCTTTGTTGTTTGGGAGGGGGAGGGGGGAAGGGTCAAATGGAATTACACATTCGAGAAGAAAATGTCGAGTTTCGCAAACAGTCGCTACATGAAGCCTGGTTCGCAGTCGATTGTGTTCAAGAAGCGGGTTGCTTGTGGCTTCCGGTCTTTAGCAGCGTTGTCGTTCCCGCCGGGGCCCTGGCGCGGGTGTTGCGGCCCAGCGGGCACGCCTCGAAGTTCCAGCCCTCGCTGGGCGGCAAACTCTCCGAGCTCTTGGCGCGGTAGAAGTCCCCGTCGCTTTTGTTGAGGTCCCCGTCGCGGCTGAAGTACCAGTAGGTGGTGCCCCGCGCCTGGCGACTTCTCCAACAGGCAACAAAGAGCCTCCACATGCCGTCCACCAAGGCAATGGCCCTGATTCCAACCGCCCCATGTTGAAAAACGCAAAAGCAGCCTTGCCTGAAGCAAGCTCATCGCCCAAAACCGCCCAAAACCGCCGCTGCCCAGAGGCCGCCGAACAGAGCTTTGAATAGCACTGTTTGCAAGGGTATAAAAAACAGAAAATTTTGCCTGCAAGCACTTCGTTTCAGACGATGGGCCATGGCAAAACCTGGCCCAAAAGATCTGGCCCTTGCAGGTTCTTCTGTCTTGCCGAACATTGAGAAGAACAAGATACACACAGTGGGCACGTGTATGGACTCCACACCAGGTAAACATTGCCGCCCGCAAGTGAAAAATGATGTTGCATTCCCAGGATGCTTTCAGATTCACCTCGTTTGCCTACGTTCTCCTTGCCGCCAAAGAACTATAATCTCCAAATCCTTTTGCTTTGCTTTGAACGCCGGGCGTGGATGCAACTTGGATGGTCGAGGTGTGCTCTTGTGCTCACCAAAGCAGATCTCTATGGCACTGATTTACTGCTGGTGGCCAAGCTGCCGGCACAAAGATTGTCTCAAAGTGTCAGCCCTCTGAGAGTATAGCTCTGTGGCACATTAACCCCCAAATCCCGCAGACTGAGTCCGGCACCATCTGATACTTGAACAGAAGGATGCCAGCTTCATTGACGTAGACGGGTGCGTCGCAAAGCTCCCCTGCCGGCTGCAGGTTTCCCTGCGAGTCTATTTCCTCTACTTGAGAAACTTCATACAAGTTAAGTTGCTTACCAAATGTTCCAACTTACACAATCCAAGCCGTGTGCTTACAAACGTGCTTTGCACAAGGAAAACTGGTCGCTGCAAATATGTCCAAGCCAGGCCGTCATGTGAAGAGATCATCTCTTGTGTGCCATCAGTTTTTTGCACAACTAGTCAACTCAATCTGACTGTTGCGTGGCGTTGCACGCTCGCCGTGAAATGCATCAATTGAGTACTGCTTGCATTCAAACCGTGCAAATGAATTAGCTGCGATTTCGTATCTTGGTTTTGACCCTTCTCCCCACGCCTTCCGCAGTAGTGTTGATCTCACCAGAAACTTTTGTCTTCTTAAACAACCCCCATCTTGCACCTGAGCCCCATTCCTTCCCGCCAAAGACAACCAAACCACCTCGCCTTCCTTCCGCACGTAGAAGCCGTTCACCACCTCTGCGCCAGCACCTTCCCACGCCGGCTGAGTCTACTCAGACCTGTAAAACTGGCAGACCAGCGGATTGGATTGCTGAGCATTTCTTAGCCAGGCACCAAGACCTCCATAGGTCCGGGCCAGTGAGCCTGTCTTTGGTGCTTTGAGTTTGAGTTGGGCCAAGGGCCAACCCCCATTTCTGACCTAGCGTCTCCCAGCGGTCACTCAGACCTCTCGGCGTGACCAAAACTTGCCAAAGTTCCATGCAGCTCTCAAGAGTTTGTCCCAGCTTCCTTGTGCAACCCGAGAGGCAGCCAATAACACGCGAGAAGTGTCCAGTCGCCTCTTCTTGCCGCCAAGGCGCATTCCACCAGAAAGCAGCACTTCCGGACCGTCACGTGGAGGTGGGGCTCGTCTGCCAGCCGGGGCGCCACCAAATCCTCGTCCGCCAGCAAGTCCCCTGGGTTCAGCGCCGATCTCTCTTTGTAGCAGCTTAGTGAAAAAATGTTGCTGACTGCTTAGCTGCGTACATCTTGTGCTTTGTTGCGTTTGTTGTTGCGGCAATTGTCGTTTCTGGGCAAAGCTGGCCGACTGGTTTTTGCGGGGCTCTGGGAAAACCAATGGTCAACCTACCAACTACCTGCAGCCCAGGGCTGCTGTCGCAAAATCCTGAGAGAAGAATCTCTCACATGAGGCCATGCCTGGAATCTTTTGTTATGTGGCTCAGGATCATATTGTCTGCCTTCCCCCTAAGGGGTCCATGACCACCCCTGCCGTGCCGGGACAAACGTTCACGGTGCTTTAAGCATGGCACATATTTGCATGTTTCCCAAAATTGGGGACCCCGTTGGCAACTGAGCCATCTACTGTCACCCTTGGGCAGGCAAGGGCCATAAAACAGTACAAGCACATAGTCTTAGGTAGTGAAATTTCATGATCGGCTTTCAGGATTCTACTTGCAGGAGCCTCGCATTCATCAACCAGTACTTCTTCGGGGCCTATCTGAACTGTGGAGCCCCTCCATCAACCAGGGGTTTTTGAACAGGTGCCACTTACAAGTCAAAGCAAAGGACCCGCACGAAACGGGCTTGCTTGCCGCATGGTTGCCGAAAATGAAGGGAAATCATCCGGAGATTCCTGTTTCGACAAAAAAAAAACAGTTACGAGGAAAGATAGAAAAAAAGAAGAAGAATGGGAATACCAATCCAACTTTGCTGGGATAGTCTCAAGCAAACAGCCGAGGGATTCTCAATAATCACCTGGCATCGTCCAAGGCTGCTTACTGCTCTCTGGTCTTTGTCTCACTGAGTGCTACACCTCCATGGATGAGTCCCGAGACTGCCGTGCCCTTGCCTGAGCTTCGCACCAGCCACAGTTCAGCACTGCAGCACTGACGGGCAGCTGCGTGCTAAACGTTCTTGCTAGGACATCCAGCCACGAACGAAACAACAAACATGATGCTAGTAGAGGCTAGTTTGTTGGCAACACATGCCCCTCCCTCTGTCTAGATAAATATTTGCATGTTGCTTGTCCTTCCTGGGAGCCTTTCCTTGATCCCAGTTTCAAGCCTTGATTCAATTGTAGGAAATGCTCACTGCGGCTTATTTCTGGACATCGCACTGCAATGCACTTCTAGTCTGCAACACATTCAAAGAGAAGTCTGCGAACAAACTGTGAACACACTCGTGCTTTGCCAGCATGAGTCAGAAACAAGCGTAATCGGAATCATCAGTGTGGAATTGCCAGGCTTTGGCCGACATGTCCTTCACCAACAGTGGAGACGTGCAAGATGCTGGTACGCCGGCCATTGCATCTTGCACCGGAACTTGCGGAATTTGGATTGCAGTGGCGTCTTCTGGGCCTCCCAATCCAGGACAAAATTGCAACAACACCCTGAAGAAGCACACAAGGAAGAAAGCAATACTACGTGCATGGGCTAATCCTGCCCTGTGAGGCTGCTTCTGCCTTTTCCAAGCAGAAATCATTTGAGTTCTGTTTTGATTGTGGCAAGTCCATCAAGAAAGGTGGCACAGGCATGCAAAGCTTGACACCAAAACGTACATGCTCTGTGGCAAACACTGGCTTTGCACCCTTACACGACAAAAACATGAAAAGCCAGGAGCTAGTCATGTACATGTCAAGAAGAAAACTTTGCCGCACGACGGTGGGTGGACAAAACCCTGCACTACCGAACCAATATTATGTTTTGTGTGTCTGCCCTCACGCTCCCATTGGCGAGGTGTCAACCCGCTCAAGGGAATGAAGCTGAATCGACCAAGTCCTACGCCACTTTCCGAGCCCCCTGAAGCAACATCGCACACGGGGTGCGGGTAGAATTCAGTCCATCCACAGTGGCAGGACGAACCCCAGTTGTCCGATTTGCTCAAGGTCACCCTTTTTTAAGTAGTCTGCCTGGCTTGTGTGTGTGCTTGCCCGAGTGGCCTTCCATTTCAGCTGTGCTTGCTGAAGCTTTGGTCGGGTTAGGGTCCGCTTGGGCGTTTGAGGGTTGGATTTGGATTGATTTAGGGTGGATGTAGGGGTTGCTTTAGGGTGGGCTCGGGGTGGGTGAGGGATTTCGTGGGTGTAGGGGTGGGGTTGGGTGTGGGCTGCCAACTGGCACAAGCCCCCGTCCCCAGACCTGTTGCTTCGGGCATAAGAAAAGAAAAGGCTCCATCTTTTTGCAAGGGAAGCCTCCCAAAAAGGGAGAGACATGGGAAAGTTCAGGCGTTGAATGCCAAGGGCACCCAGGAAGGGCCTGAGCGCCCGCTTCAGCTCTGCCGCACGCCAGTCCGGGCGCACCCCCACCGTTGCAGCCTTCCGGAGACGGAATTTTGATTGGGGACCTTGTTGGTTTGTGAACCAAAAACCAAGGCGAAGTCAAAGCGGGCTGCAGGCTCATCTAGTTGTTTTCTGAACATCGCTACATAGCTGTGCGGATTAGGGACGCAGAGGGCTTTTTCAGCATGGACCCACTGAAACAAGCCGCCGAGGCCCTTGGGCCGCAGGCGATGAGATGAAGGGAGCGAGGGAGCGACACAAAGCGTCGCGACACTGGGTGTGGTCTGGAAACTCCCCCTTGTTGGCAACATCTTGGTGCGAAGGAGTCCAGGGACAGTTGCTCCACTTGCGCTGCACTTTTGGTAGCTTCACCTTTGTTTCTTCTCTGTTCAAATTATTACATTTGCGGTTCACCGCATCAAGCATGTTGGTTTTCAGTCTGGGACGAAACCTGAGGTCATTTCCCCTGCACCGCCCACCGAATCTGTCTCCAAATCGCACCCCCCCCTCCCCCCCTCCCCCCACACAATCCACAAGCGACTCAGCGGGCAATGACCCTTGCTCGGCTCTCTTTTTGAGTGTTTCCTGAACTGGTTCCTAGATGGTAAGCCCAACCATGGTGACTGCTTTATGGTGTCCCTCAAACACTAGCCTCTTTGAGGGTCCTATTGTTTGGACACACCCAAATCAGAAAAATCACCTATATATTGGGATTTGAAAGTTTTCAAACAAAATCCTGCAAGACATTTGGATTTGGATCCCTAGATTTGACATATTCTTATCGCGTGCACTGCAGGCTTTGAATGACCAAAGCGTGTCCGGAGATGGAGAATGACACTCTTGCAAGCGTTGTTCATGTCAGCACCTTCTTAAAAGCACGGGAATCCAGAAAAGCATTGCTCCGCACTGGATAGAATGCGTTTCTTTGCACTGCCCCCAGCAGGACATCCGAACACAAACGCGTGGAGGCATCCTTTCCGAGTGCAATGGTGTATTAGAAATGGTTCTGGTTCTACAAGGTTCGCTCTGATATAGCCGCAATCGACTGCAATCCTCCTCTCTTTGCACCCTGCATGCAGCTTATCACGCTAGCCCCTGGCTTCAGCCTCGCCTGAAAATCGACCTAAAAGTATCTAAAAGGGCGAACGCAAGGACTTAGCCAGTCCTAACGCTGGAGATATGTCGTATAATCCCATCTGAATCCCGACTTCGCTTGGTGTGACACATCCACCCCAATTATCTCAGCCCCTTGGCCAGGCCCGCCTCCTCGCCGGAGAAGAAGAGCACCTTCACGTGCTGCACAAAGCTCTCCTCCCTGCGCCAAAAGAAGCATGTCTTACCCGAGGTGAGTGCCCTGACATGTTGCAACCCATTTGGGTAGACTCGCAACTTGGACACCTAAGTTGCGTTCAGAATGCTGGAAAATTAAACTGCCAGAACTCCTGCTCGCCGCAAGTCCATGATCCCAATGGGCCCCCTACATGAGGCACACAGGAGTACAAACAAAGCACAAGGAGGACCTGCAAGTCACGGCAATTGCATTCTCTTGAGGACTGGGGTCTTCTAACACTTGACCACACTGACTTAAAATGTATAAGAATAACGATGCCGGGAAGGCGGGGTCAATATGCCGCACGCAAAGCGCGCAAAGCCCGATTCGGCAAGGCACTCATCCAACTCAGAGGCCTACTGCAGGCAAGGCGCGGCTCTGGATTGACTGACGTCTCTGGCCGGATCCACCTGACTAGCTCGAACATCTTGTAATCTGCCCCGTCAAGCCAATTCTGGCATGTTCCAACTGAGTGGCTGAATCCCATAGCAGGTTGATAGATGCGGCCAGCCCGCGTCTTAGAATTTCTGGGGCGTTGCCTCAGACAAGCCTTTTGGGCAGCTTGAAACGAAGCCTGGCCACTTCTAGTACAGTGAAGAACAGCTACACATTTGAGTTCGGCCAAGACTGTGCTGCAGGAAAGCTCTGCAAAGGGCGTTCAAATTGTACCGCATGGCATCTTGGAACACCCACAATTCCAACATAAGCTTCTGAGAGTGTACAAGTGTATCCCTCTGCTTGGGTAGAATGACCCGGCTTGTCACTTTAGCAGTGGCGTTGCCCGCCCCAAAGAGAAACGCTAATACACCCTGAAAGGTTCGCGAGAAAGCCCACGCCACCTTCTGGGCAAAAAGCGACGCAAGCAAGACCACCGCATCGTCAAGCATCCAGACTCGCACATGGCTGCCAAGGGCGAAAAGCAGATTATTCAGGATCTGATGCCTGCAGTCTGTGCTGATGTCATCTCTCAGCCGTTGGGTGGGCTACATGATGTGTGTGTTTGAAGAAAAAGTATGTTTTGCTCCCTATACATCATTTTCGAGCCAGGCTGGGCACATGGTCAGCTTTCGGAACTGCCCCTTCGAACCATTTCACTTGGACTCTATCTGTCATGCCCAGCAATCAACAAACGATCGTGCCGATTGGTCAAGAGGCTTCAGTCCAGATTGCCGGCAAAGGAAGCAATCCACCGGCAGCGAGGGAAATCCAGGACAGCTGCACCGACTCAATTGTTCATGCAAGTCGCCTTGTGAAGGTCATTTTGCCATCTTGTTCTTTTATTCTGCCAGCACAAGTCTTTTCTGTCACCCGAAGCTCCGAAGTGACAGTCTGTGCCCACCCGGCCTTCCCCGGTCCGAGCTTTCTTGGCCTGGCCGCTCGGTCGATGGAAGTCGCTGGTGTCCAGCAACGATTGCCATGCCAAGCAACGAACATGAGATCGGACTTCGTGGTGCGTCAATGAGCGTCTCAAAAGCCCAATACGACTGCGCCTCATTGGAAGCGACAATGCCCTCCCCCGCAATTGGACACACTGGCAACCGGTGGACAACGGGCAAGCCAGCCCAATCTGCAAGATTGCGTCTCACACAAGCCCCGACTGCCCGATCAAACCCAGCTCACCCGAGGGAACAGTCCCCAACAGCACGTTAGTCATAGCACAGTGTCCCAAGACTTCCCCCCAACCTGCCGGCTCCCTCTATCAAACTGTCTGCCTTCTCTGTGGTCGCAAACCTCCCGTGCTCCTGCGCGGAGCATTCAATCACTTTGGCTGTCGTGGCCATGTCGCTTTTTTGTGGAGAACATTCCTGCTGCAGGGCGAAAGGCGTGTGGATGCTTAGGGCAGAGTGTACCTCCAGCCAATCCCGCGGAAGAAACTTGAGCTGATGCCGAAAGGAACTGGCAGGGTGCACAACATGAAGATAACCGACCCCTCTCCTGCCGCTTCTTGCCACGGTAGACCTGCCGGTTTGGCCTTGCCGGCAGAGAGGTGCCAATGGCAACAGCTCTACTCCTTCCGGCCAAGCAAACAAATGCCAGACTTGAGGACCTGGTTGAAAGCAATCAAAGATTCACTCAGCAAAACAATGAAGTTATTCAACAGCCGTAAATCGCCGCAGGTCCAGGAAGGTCGCTACCAAGTCCGATAGAGCTTCTTGCAAAACCCTCGCATGGTTCACAAAACAGAGTTTCGTTGACAAGCTATCAAATACATACTTACAGCCAAGAATACCAATGCAAGTATGCAATGGAAACATTGATCAAACAAGTTCTTTGTTTCCGCATACCTGCAGTCCTGTCAACTTCCCTACCCAACACTGACTTCATCACACGAATAGCTTTCAAGCTGCCGCCATTGCCCCAATGACAGCATGGACAGTGTACGTGGGTCTTCTTGGCACCTCAGCCGAGTATCATTGCCCCTGACACAGCAATGCTAAAGAATGTGTTCCTTGCACCAAGTGTGGTGCCACTTCAAAATGCAAGGCTCTGAGCACAAGTGTTGCACAAATACGAGGTTGTTTAGAACAGACCGCATTGCCGCATTGTCTGGTATGCAAACTTATGAGTCATAATCAAACCCGGTATTTGAACGGTCTACCCAGAACCATGTAAAGAATTAAGAAGGCGGCCGCAGCTATTTGTGTTTGGGAATTTTGGAATGTCCCTTACTAACCTTCATCTACCCGAGTTTTGGTTGTGGCTCGTGTGAGCGTGTCGCAGACAGTGTTCAAGACCTTAATGGTTACACAGCTGACTACATGATACAGGATGCAGTTGCACGCAAGCGCAGTACAAAACCATACCCAGCATGCACAGGAGAACTCATCAGAGAAAGTTGTTCTGATGGCAATGCCGCAAGATGTGATGAATAATGAACAGCACTCACGTAAGGATGCACAGCACTCTGTTTTGCCGCCAACAATGACACGCTCAACATAAACATCACGGAGAATTGCTGGCTTTGCCGAGCATTTTGGCACAAATCCGAGGAGGCAAACCTGGGCAACGTAGAAGTCACCGTGCATTGTGTTGATGCGTCTTTGCGCGGAGGTCTTTTGAATAGAACAAGATATTTGTAAGGTTGCAAGGATTAGGCAAGAGATTCCATACGACCTGCCCAAAGCTGGTGTGGAAGCACCGAGCGAGTGCCATCTTTGACACGGTTCAATTCAAGGTTCCAAAAACAACAAAAATGAGGACAACAAATACAAGCTATACAAAATTGAAAAGTTGGACAAGTCAGAATAGAAGAGTCTGTTACCAGCACATGCGAGGTCCTAAAATTGCGAACGCTCTATAGTTAAGCTTGTGGAAGGAAAACAGAAAGAAGCTGCCCGCCTCCACTTCAAACATCTGCGGCCCTTGGGTGCCAGGCATGCCCTCAATCCGCTTCAGAAGGCCTCCGCCTCGATACGGGCCAGCTGGAATTTTCGAAGGCGACTGCGTCTGCTTCACATGCTATGGCAATCACTTGTTTGCCATTGCGACGACCCCATGCCAAGTGTGTCCATCATCCGTTCCAAATGGTCGATGAACGAAAGCCAGTCCTTGTCAGCCGTGGCAGTCAGGCCCCCAAATACAGTGCGAAACAGCATAGTATGAGAAAGGCCAAAAGGACCTTGCAGGGCAGCCTGCTGAAAAAAACCCGGACTTGACCAAAGGACCATGTCCAAAAGGGCAACGTCCCACTTTGTGTGTGTGTCGTGGGGAGTCCTTTTCAGATTCAAATCAAACGCAGAACGGCACCCGCCTTTACCACCACGCGCTTCATCCACGTCCTCGCGGAAGTCATCGCGCCACTGGCCACCGGACCTAGGCTGACACGCGGATCGCGTGCGAACCCATTTGCCTCTCGCTTGCTGCAAGAGATCGGGCAGACATACTTTAGACAACCGGCAGGACAGGCCTTCACAATGTGTTGCTGCAAAAATCGAGCAACAAACATCTCAAAGGAGATGGTCAAGGCATCCTCTACATTGATGAGCTGAAACACCGCGTTGAACCCTCTGTGACTGGAAGATCGAGCAGAAATAGGCCGGTCCAGTGTTCGTTCAGCCGCGCCAAACGCTGGGACAAATGGCATGGAGATGATCATTCTGATGAGGAGACATGTGCGTGTGTATGTGTACACATGTGCAATCCGCCGACCCCTTTCTCCAAAAGGGAGGCGCATGGGAAGGGCTTGTCTTTGTCCTTGTCTTAGTGATGATTATTGTCACCACTGATGGTGGGTGATGGTTCACAGCATCCGGACTATCATCATTACCGTGGCGCTCTTCTTTTTCATATACGTTTCAAGTGTGCCGTTAGACCCGACTGGAAATGCAAAGGATGCGTTGTCATGATTGTCATGATTTCTGCTGCTGATGCTCGGGATGCATATTGACGTCATCACTATGCATCCCCAGCATCAACAGCAGTTATCATCACAATCATGACAACACATCCTCTGCATTTCCAGTCAGGACTAACGGCACACTTGTTCATCATGTTCATCATCATTTTCATTTTCATCATCATGTTCATCAGCATGTTCATCATCATCATCATCATCATCATCATTTTCATCATGTTCACCATCATCATCATCATCATTTTCATCATCATTTCCTCATCATGTCCACCATCAAAACCGTGGCGCTCTTCTCTTCCTGTACGTTTCAAGTGTGCCGTTAGACCCGACTGGAAATGCAGAGGATGCGTTGATGGTTGTCATGATAACTTCTGATGCACAGTAATGATGATACCTGCTGGAAATGCTGAGGATGCGTAGTGATGATTATCATCAGGATGATGATGATGGTCCTTGTGATGATGAACATGAAAATGATGATGATGATGATGATGATGAACATGATATAAAAATGATTGATGAACATAATCATGAACATGATGCTGATGATGAACATGATGATGAAAATGATAATGAACATGCTGATGATGATGATGATGAAGCTGGGGATGCATAGTGATGATGTTCACAT